CGATCCAAAAAGTCCAAAAGTAAGTGCGTGTGTGCGTGTGTGCGTGTGTTCGTGTGTGTCCTGTATCTTTCTTCAAATCAACATCGACATTTCCAGTCTTGAACCAAATGTCCTAGATCTGAGACCTATCGTGGCCTATTCTAGATGCCTCATGGGACAAGTCGGACTCAGACCACCCTCCCCTGAGCCATGGGGAATTTTCACTCTTTTATCCACATCTTCAATCCTTCAGCTTCTGCAAATAGCCTCAATCTGAATCTGCTTCTAGTCGTGAAGGAACACCCCCACCTTGCTAACCAGATTACCGGTGACGCACAGAATTTCAATTGCAGGAATCTTCCTCTCGTTCACCTCTTCGTTCCTTTCGCTCATTCACCCGAGGCCGAAGCGTGTTAGACCGGCCTAACAGCAGTCTTTCCAACCAGACCGATATCACCCGGCCAAGAGCTGCCTCGACTTTCGCTGGATCAATTAATTCTGCTGACACAGAGCGCGTTGGTCAACCTGCACATTCAAATCTCTCACGAACTGCATTTAATTCAAGATCGGGACGGACTGCAGGCCCAATGGAGGTAGATCGTACCCACACACGGAGGGAGAGGACCTTTGTCGGGAGTGAATGTGCCGTTTGCGATGAACCCTTGGAGCATACCCTACGCGGCGAGCGTGTTCTGCAGCTCTCGTGCTCCCATGTCTCTCACGAAGCCTGTTTCTATGAATTTCTGCGGGAATGCGATGGACAATACTGCCCAACCTGCAATGCGCCATTGTCCTTGGACACAAGTCGCGGTGGAAATGTCTTGGACATCGGTATGCTCTTCATGTGGGGTTCAGAGGGGAGACCCGGAAAGCTAATGTGAATTTTTTTCAATTCAGAGAAAATTAGTAATATTGTTCGCTCAGTGACGTCGAATGATACCGCTACAGTACGCAGTGGCTTGACAACACCAACACCAACTCCATGGGAGCAGTCGTCCAGTCGACGAGCACCGAGTGAGTCTGGTAGTCGCTACACCTCGGGTACCCGAGAAATACCACCTTACAACTCTACGAGGGAGCCATCTTACAACCACTCAAAAGAACCATCCTACAACCCCTCGAGAGATTCATCCTATCATCGACGAGATAGCCGTGATAACGGCAGCCAGCGTGAACGCGTAGAGCGATTGACTGTGGGCTCTAATCCCCATCGACCCCATTCCCGGAACGGCAGCGCGGCCGGCTCATCGGGCGACTACCATGAAGGCCAGCATACTAGCAGTGGACGGCGCCATGACTACGATGTTCAAGCTATGGAGTCCGACCTCAGTCCTCGCCCTAAGGTCGCCAAGAATCCCATTCCCGCACCGATAGTCACTGTCCGAAGCGAGTTTCCGACTATGAACCGATCTCGCCAACAGCAGACCCTCACGTGTCTGATTACGGTTGAAGTGCCAGATGCCAATTGGCGTCCTGACCTAGATGATTTACGACACACGCTTTCGGGACAGTCGCAGCCGGATGAACCATACGCAGGACAATTTGGTGGACAGGATGCGCGATCGATCCAGTATGAACCAACGGAGAATATGGAAGAAGTGGCCGAGGAATTGCGCAGCCGGGTGGACAATTGGCATGGCCTTGAGTTTCAACGGTTTGGCAAGCTGCGCCTCCACGGACATATGCGCGTGGGCAAGGATCGGGATTCCTGGCAGGAGTTGGAATGCTATCTCTTCGGAGAGATGCTTATCTGTGTCAAGGAGAAGAAATCGGCTGACCCCCAATTTGATGTGAGCAGGCGACGCAAGCCTGCTCGTTGCAGTCTCAAGGGCTCAATTTTGATTAAGAAGCATTTGAAATCCATTGAGGTGTCACCCGATGAACCTATTCTCTCTTTGAACCTTTCTGTCGCCGAGCTGCCTTGTTTCTACCTTCGCTTCCAGAATCGCAATCAGCTTGAGACGTGGCGTCGGTTTTTGATTGATTTGCACCCAGAGGCCATTTCACGCCATGACTATGACTACGACAATTCGGGGGCGGAGGAGGACGATTACCGTGGTAACCGTGGAATTCAACGACAGGCATCTATCAACTCGTCTTACGGCGCGGGGAAATCTATCAATACCGCCATTACAGACTACACCAGCCCCGACTACACGGTCCCCGACGCTGGATTCTCTGCAATCAACACCGTTCACATTCCCCTCGATCTTGTCGTGGTAATTCCGGTATCCTCGTCCATGCAAGGCTTGAAGATTACTCTCCTGCGTGATGCCCTCAAATTCCTCGTGCAGAACCTGGGCCCTCGGGACCGGATGGGCCTGGTGACGTTTGGCTCGAGTGGTGGAGGTGTGCCCCTTGTTGGTATGACCACCAAGTCCTGGGCTGGATGGCCCAAGATCCTCGAATCGATCCGGCCGGTTGGCCAAAAGAGTCTCCGTGCGGATGTGGTTGAAGGTGCCAACGTCGCCATGGATCTTCTGATGCAGCGCAAATTCAACAATCCCGTTTCGACCATTCTTTTGATCAGCGACTCTTCTATCTCCGACCCTGAAAGCGTTGATTTCGTGGTTTCGCGCGCGGAAGCTGCCAAGGTCAGCATCCACTCGTTTGGACTTGGATTGACCCACAAGCCTGATACTATGATCGAGTTGTCCACTCGTACCAAGGGATCTTACTCATATGTGAAGGATTGGATGATGTTGCGAGAATGTGTTGCTGGGTGCCTCGGCGCGTTGCAGACAACTTCCCACCAAAACGTCAAGTTGAAGCTCCGCCTACCTGAAGGGTCACCCGCCAAGTTTGTTAAGATTAGCGGCGCTCTTCACACCACAAAGCGTGCAACTGGTAAAGATGCCGAAGCCGCACTGGGAGATCTCCGATTCGGTGAAAAGCGCGACGTCTTGGTTCAACTTGTCATTCAGCCTGACAATGCTACGCAGGACAACATGCCGCAGGATCCGTGGGAGAGCCTAGTTTCCGGACTGGAGGCTCTCGGCGGCGGTTCGGATGGCGATGAGACACGAGTCGTGAGTGTTGAAGAGGTCCCATTGATCCAGGCTGATCTCACCTACGGCGATCTGCTTCGCGATGGCCATCTCACTCACTCCCCCCGTCCTTCGCTTCTGGCCATTACTATGCTGCCTCCTAATCCTCGGGCCAGGGGCCCGCAATCTTTGACCCCCCCAATTCCTCCCCATCCTTCGATCGTACAGCGTCGCATGGAGCTACTCACTTCCGACATGCTGACCCGTGCTCTTACTCTGGTTTCTCGGGGCCAGCATGATCGCGCAATGCACCTTCTCAATGAGACGCGCAGCATCCTCAAGGGCCTCGGCAAAGGTGGCCTACCACCTCTGCCCCCGGGTGCTTCCCGGCCCGATAGCGATGCCGACAGCCGCGGCGACACCCCACTCTCGGCCACCTCTCCTAGCTTCGGTGGAACTCATTCATCCGCATCCGACACCAACACCATCACACCAACCTCCGCGGTCGATGCTCAGACGATGACTGCCCTGAACGCAGATCTGGACTCTGCCCTGGAGTGGATCAACCACCCGGCAGTCTTCAGCCGTGATTCACGCAAGGCAGTGCTACAGAGCATTGGCGTGATCTCCTCACAACGTGCCTACACCTTCCGCACTCCATCCGAAGCCCACTGGGCCCAGCGCGTCTCCGGCGTGCGTCGGTTGACAGAGCGATCTCAAGACTGGCGCGAGACTGGCGACGATGCTTTGACGGAGGAGTAGGAAGCCATCCCTCTAAAACTCAGCATGTCTTTTTCCTCCCCTAATTTTTGCCCTTTGAAACGCTTTCTCTTATCTCATATTCCCGACTTTTTACATACCAAGTTGACGTGCTATTTCCTCTTTGCTTTTCCCCCTTTGCGATTTCTTTTGCCATCCCTATGATACCACTTTGTTCCCATGACTACGCAACATGATACCAGGGGCTTTGTTCTTGATGTGTTTCCGCTGTATTTGGACATAATATCTCTGTTTCTATGTAATTGGTCTGACGGTCTCGGCTCTGGTGCGCGGATGGAATGGGGTTCTGTTCGTTTTTTTTTTTTTTTTGAACATATGACGATCTACTGGAGTTCTTTCTCTCCTTCTCTCTATATCCTTGCTTAGTTTAATCTGAACCCATTAGTTGCCTTGGACCAGCACATATCCAGCCCATCGAAACAGTTCTTTGCTTCCAGCACAATATCTTTGGCGACTCGTGGGGCTGGTAATGGATGTATGGCATGAATGCGTAGTCCACCCCCGGAGGAAAAGTAAAACCTGTCAACAGATCTGAGTGATTTTATTCGGACTGAAACGGAACTCGAACATCCTCGCAGGCGTTGGAGTGGGGAATTTGGAGGTTAGCCATGACGTTGCTCTCAGGCTGGTCACGAAGAATGGGGAAAGTGGCTTATCGCCGTGTGGCTCAGATCAACCTTCAACTTGCAACTTTCCAAGGGCGGCTCTGGTTTGCCTAGACTGTTGCAATACTAGATTCCTCTTCTTGAAACCCATTTGCATAAATAGCCAGACAGACTTTCCGTCATGTGTCAGTCTATGGCACGCGCTTTCCGGAGCGCATGCGCATATCCTTTATTATCGAAGCCTTCTTACCTCAAGGCCTCATCACTAGCCAATCAAACGTCACGCTCATACAACATCTCAGGGCCTCAATTATTTCCTCATTGGCATACCTCCCTGAGCTCTCAGGCCGCACCTCTAAGCCAACCCAGACCCCAATCACAACTCTCATTCCACACACCCTCCCCAACGAACCGGCGCACCTTCTTCTCAAGCCACCAATCCAGCTATCAACAAAGGCAGAGCCAATACAACCGATTTCGAGGCAGTGCTCGTCAACCTATTGTCTTCCGCTTAGTACAGAATGCAAAACCACACCACTTTGTTGCGATTGGCGTGGGAATATCCGGACTTTATCTATACAACACGGAGATAGTGGAGATGACCGGTCGACGACGGTTCAACTGTGTATCTCGTCACCAGGAGCTAAATATGGGCGAAGAGAGTTACCGCGAGGTCCTCAGTTCCGAGCGTGGGAAGATCCTACCCCAAAACCATCCTCTTACTCGCATGGTTGATGGTGTGCTGCAGCGATTGATCCCGCAGGTGGCTATTGAAGGCGCTGATTGGAAGGTCCATGTTATCAAAGATGATGGAATGGTTAATGCTTTTGTGCTTCCGGGGTAGGTTTCTCTGGGGTTGTGGTGTTATGGATGTGGCTGACATGGGTTTGTTTCGTTTTAGGGGAAAGGTATTCGTCTACACTGGTATATTGCCCATTTGTAAAGACGAGGATGGCTTGGCTGCTGTGCTGGGACATGAGATTGCTCATGTTGTGGCTCATCACCCTGCAGAACGTATGAGCAACAGTTTCATTACTTTGGGAGCTGTGTTCGCTATTTCTTTCTTGTTCGATGTTTCCGGGCAGTTTTCTTCTTTCCTGTTGAATCTCATGTATGGCTTGCCGAACTCGCGGACGCAAGAGGTATGATTGTCTTTTGACTCTAATATATCGTCACCTGGCTAATCTCTATCTACAGGCTGAAGCAGACAATATCGGTCTAAGTATGAATTTTTGAAGTTAAGGATCGCCTGGCGATTAGGTTGCTAATGGTTGTTTCTAGTGATGATGTCTAAAGCCTGTTTTAACCCCGAGGCAGCTGTCAAACTGTGAGTTGAAACGACAGAATGGGCAGCGTCTCAGGCTTTGCTGATAATTGTTAGATGGGCTCGCATGCATGAACAGGAGAAACAAGCTCCTCCGCAGTTTATGTCCACTCACCCATCGGTAGGCTTGGAGAATACCTATAAAGGGATCATAACTGACTCAGTATTAGAGTTACAACCGAATGGAAACCATTCAAGGATGGTACGACTATTTCCCCTACGCGACTTGTTTGTTACTGATTCTACCGAACAGGCTCGACAAGGCTGAAGCCATCTACGAGGAGAATGGGTGCAGCTCTGTCAAAGGATACAGTAAGAGACTTTCTTTACTTTTCCGTATACCAAGTTGCTGACCTCTCCAGTGCCTGGTTTCCGAAATGCTTACAACTCGCATGTCTCGTATCTGAGATGATGCATCCAAGTCAATAGTGCATTGATAGTAACTGTATAATAATAGCATTAACCAATGTATTAATATACAGGAGAGCATTTATTGTTACAGACCTCAGGACACATAAAACAATGAACGTGATTTTTTTTTTAAAAAAATGGATGATTAAAGATCGTATCACCGCTGATCTACAAGTCGCCAAGCAACGAGGCAACTGGCGGGCTCCCCCTCGTGCAAACCGAGCAAACCCACCACCGCAGCTCCAAAAATTGCCCGGCACAACAGCTTCATCCACTTCCTCACATTTAACCCATTTGATATCCAGTCGCATCTCCTTCGGACGCGACCTAATATCATGTCGCTATCAATTCCCGGTCCCTCCCAGGCGGGGCTATTCAAGCCCGGGTACCAGAGGTGAGTTCGAAAAGTCGAGAAGCCCGAAAACCCACCGCAATAGGGACCTCCTTATCTGGCGCCCCTCCAACAAGAGAAGCAAGGCAGTTGACTAATCTGTGTTTCCTGCTGTATAGTCACGATGCCGAAGATGGAGCCGTTATCCGTAACATCGAAGCCTGCCAGGCTATCTCAGGAACCGTCCAGACCTCCCTGGGCCCCTATGGCCGCAACAAGATCGTCATCAACCACCTGCAAAAGATGATTTTGACCTCCGACGCGGCCACGATCCTTCGTGAGTTGGATGTTGTTCATCCCGCTGCTAAGCTGCTTGTTATGGCGAGTCAGCAGCAGGATGCGGAGATGGGCGATGGTACCAACTTGGTTATCGTGCTGGCCGGTGAATTGTTGAAGAAGGCAGAGGAGTTGATCCGCATGGGTCTCAAGACGAGTGATATTGTTTCCGGATACGAGAAGGCTCAGAACTTTGCCTTGTCGGTTCTAGAGGGTATGTTATCCCCCTTGAATGGTTTTATTGATGTACATCTGAGGGACGATTTCTGATTCCATCTAGAGCTCGAGGTCGACAGACTCCAGGATATGCGATCGGCTACAGAATTGAGCAAGGCTCTCCGCACAGTGGTGGCCTCTAAGCAGTCCGGCACGGAGGATACCTTGGCTGCGTTGGTTGCGGAGGCGGTTCTGGCTGTGTTGCCCAAGAACCCCCTTAACTTCAACGTCGACAATGTGCGAGTGGTTAAGATCATGGGTGGTAGCTTGGAACAGTCCAAAGTGGTGAGGGGTATGGTTTTCCCCCGGGAGCCCGATGGAATTGTCAAGAAGGCCAGTAAGGCCAAGGTCGGTGTTTTTAGCTGCCCCATCGATATCAGCCAGACCGAGACCAAGGGCACAGTGCTCCTGAAGAACGCCAAGGAGATGATGGACTTCACCGCGGGTGAGGAGGATCGTCTAGAGATTGCTATTAAGGAGCTCTACGACTCCGGCCTCCGTGTGGTCGTTGCCGGTTCCACTGTTGGCGACTTGGCCATGCACTACCTCAACCGTTTCAATATTCTGGTTATTAAGATTCTGTCTAAGTTCGAGCTCCGCCGCTTGTGTCGCGTGGTCGGTGCCACACCTCTGGCTCGCCTGGGTGCTCCCATGCCCGATGAGATGGGCCAGGTCGATGTTGTCGAGACCACCGAGATTGGCGGTGACCGAGTCACCGTCTTCCGCCAGGAGGATGCCAACGCCATTACCCGCACAGCAACCATTGTCCTGCGCGGTGCTACTCAGAACCACCTGGAGGACGTCGAGCGTGCCATCGACGACGGCGTCAACGTCGTCAAGGCCATCACCAAGGACCCCCGTCTCGTGCCCGGTGCCGGTGCCACGGAGATCGAGCTCGTGGAGCGCATCTCCAACTTTGCCGACCGAACCCCCGGTCTGCCCCAGTACGCCATCCGCAAGTTCGCCGAGGCCTTCGAGGTCGTTCCCCGCACTCTTGCCGAGTCTGCCGGTCTCGATGCCACCGAGGTTCTCTCGCGTCTGTACACCGCACACCACCGTACCACGGCTCCTGGCGAGTCATCTTCTGTAAACGAGGAGGGCAGCTCGTCTGAAGAGGAGGAACCATACTGGACTACAGGTGTGGATCTTGAGATTGGCGACTCCGACGGTACTCTGGACACTGTCGAGGAGGGCATTCTGGATCTTATGGCTACAAAGATGTCTGCGATCCGTCTGGCCAGTGAGTCTGCCCGGACAGTGCTGAGTGTCGACCAGATCATTGTCTCGAGACAGGCAGGTGGTCCCAAGCCTCCGAAGGGTGGAGGTGACTGGGACCAGGACTAGAGGTTTTTTTTTAAAAAAAAAGGGGAGCGATGATGGTCTGGATGCCGTTTGATAATTTGAGGCCTATCGATCTTCATACGATGATCTGCTTTTTGAGAACCACATAGACTGACTCTTACTTTCGTCTGCCGTAATGAAAAGGTGTAGCATTTGGGATTATTGGCTATCTTTTTAGCTCGATCAGTTTCAGGCTGATCAAATTACAAACCACTTCCGACAGTTTGATGGCAATAGCACGGGGATTTCCAGACACTCTCCGCGAGTGTCATCCAACTTGTATATAAACCCCAGGTTTTCGATTCTTTCGCGAATAAAAGTGAGAACGAATCTTGAACCTTCCCAAGTGTGAACTGAGCAATATCACAAATCACCATGAAAGAGATAAAATACTGAGCCAAATGGCATTGGCGCACTTGATTTTACTCCTTTCTTTGCAGCTAACGGTATTCTTGCCGTCTTCTTCGCTATACTCTTATGTATACATATGGCACTAACGGTTCGGCATTGGCGCTATTACGGTTACGCTTTTGGTTTGCTAGGTGGTCTGCTCTTGGAGCTGTTGGGATGTGTTGCAAAAGCCTGACTTTCACATAATCGAGCAGAGAAAATATTCAGATATCATGTGAGGCTGAATGCATCACTGTTGCACCTGTATATGTTCCTTCTCACTCATGTCCTTTTCGTCTGTAGATACATCATTGGCCTCAAACTCGGACCTACATTTCTCTCGTCTTCCCCATATCTCAATATCTCAATACTCCAGCGACAACATGAGGCATTCATCTTGAGATGGGTTGATCAAGAAGGCTGTGGCCTCCTTATCGAAGCAGCTGATATACGGTGGAAAGCTTTGAGATGCTACCAATTCCGAAGACAGAGTCCGGACTTACGCTGTTCGTTCCGTTTGGCGACAGATCATTCGCTGTGTGATAGTAATCGAACACAGGAGACTCCCCAGGGTCATGAAGAGAAAACCCGCAGATGGCGACGGAATTTTCGGTATCCTGCCCGAATGCTGCATCCAAAGCTGCCGTGAGATCCTGGGTCATCTGACCCAGAGAGAAAGATAGAGAAGGACTCCTAGAGACTTTCACAGGAGTAATAAAGATTGGGCCGAGAAAAGTGTCTCTATTGAGAAAAGTCTGGAGCGGACTAGTCACTGGGATCTATAGCATTGGGACAAGACCGAGGCTTCTTTAAGCTTACCTCACACTCATTGGGTACTTTTTCCTTCTGAGTCAAGATTCACGACTATACGATTTTATTAGTGCTGACTTCCTTAGGAATACGGCTTTTTTTATTTTGAATGTCGAGCTTGTGTTTTCAAGATAATCCAGATGAAAACCACAGCTAAAGTTGGTATAGAATATCCAACGTCAAATCGGTCTATTCTCAGTAGCATTGCATAGTATTATATAATGTCTAAGCTCATTATTCTTAAAACAAATGCATCCCTTGAAGCTGGCTCTATCTCACTACGAGATTGACTGATCTTTTTCGTCAATCGGCACAACCTCCTCATGACTGGTACCTCCAGCTAATTTCTTAGCGCCTTCCTTGCGGTGCTAGATCTCCTCCCAAAACATTCCTTTAGTTCCATGAGTGCTGGCTTGGACATTTGTCTCGAATGCGAAGTCGATCTTTTCGAGAGACCGTCCTACACGTTTAGGAGATGTAGAGAAACAAATGTATAGTCACACAGCAGAATAATGAACATCATGAACATCCAGTTTACAGCCACCTTAAGTTGGACACGGGAAAACTTCTAGTATAGTCGCCTAAACTTGTCATTTGAGGCTTTTTAGGACGGTAGTGTATAGCGTAACTAAGTAAGACCGTTCGGTAAAAACACACAAGAAAAAGATAGCCAACTAGTTGGTATTCTAGAACTGGGTACCCCATACTTAGTTGTAGTACATCTGAGCATTGACCAACTGGTTTCTGGTCTGATAGACTCTGATGCCTGAGGCATAAATCACGTGCCACTCCCAGATTTTCCTCGAATGTTTCCTTTCGGTCTTGATATCAACGAGCCGCGATTTCAATCCCCACCACTTTTCTCGAACTTTCCTTTCTCTCGTGCTTCTCGTCCTTTTCTCACCTTCGCCATGTCCTTCTCCACCCAGGTCGCATCCCGCTGCGCTAGACAGCTCTCCGGCTCCGTCCGCCCGTCCTCCCTGCGCATTGTGACCTCCGCTACACACCTCACAGCCCGGCGCACACCTAGCAGCCGGCGATGCGAATCCACCCAGGCAACCCCTGCTGCTGCTACCAACCCTAAGATCTCCCAGATTGTCGACCAGATCAGCACATTGACTTTGCTCGAGACTGCCGATCTAGTTTCTAGCTTGAAGGTGTGTTTGACAATCTACGCATAACCCATCGGTTGTTAGCCAGGATATGTGGATCTTGCATGTCTCTTTGTGTCCAGATCACCACTCTGTTCAATGGAGGTATTTATCTGAACCTTAGCTAATCAAAACCTTTGTACAGACCCGCCTGAACATCCCCGATCTTCCCGTTGGCGGTTTCGCCATGGCTGCTGGTGGTGCCCCCGGTGCGGCCGCTGCCGTTGAAGAGGAGGAGGCTGCTCCCGCCGCTGCCGAGAAGACGCTGTTCAACCTGAAGCTCGAGTCGTTCGAGCCTACCTCCAAGCCCAAGGTCATCAAGGAGATCAAGACCATGCTCGGCCTGTCGCTGGTGGACAGCAAGAAGTTTGTCGAGTCTGCGCCTAAGATTCTGAAGGAGTCTGTGCCCAAGGAGGAGGCGGAGAAGCTCATTGAGACGTTCAAGGCGATCGGTGCCAAGGCGACTATGGAGTAAAAGAGCCGTGTTACTTTTAACGCACGGGAGGAGATAGATTGGGAAGAGAAGTCGGGGAAGATGATGTTGCTTTGGTCTTGTCCTCTCTTTTCTCTCTTTGGATTCTTGCTTTTGAGAGATCTTGTCGAGCATTTAATTGTGTTTGGCCTGGCAGATCAAGGCAAAATGTACATTATACGCATTGTGTTCTGGGGCCGTCTGGTACAGAGGGCTCGTTTGGTTAATTGATGCATTTAGCATATCAATGATACTCTACCACTTTAAAGATCGGCAAACCCTTTAAAAACTATTATGGCGTATGGTCAAGTTGGTAGATCTGAACATCGGAGTAGCTTCGCGGTGAAGTTCCCGATCTCCAGAACTTTGACCCCAAAAAAAACCTCCCCTCACCTACTACCTCCACCATTTGCCCTCCACACTCTTTCTCATGGCCAGGTCATTAGTTTCGCCACTGCAGTGGCGTCAATTACACCAAACTCTCTGCCCACCAGCCCACGCCTTGCGTCACCACCGTGCGCAAGCTTGCACCGCTCGAGCTGTCACTGATAGCAACACAGCTCCCTTGAAACGACCCTTCCACACCACTCAAATTCGATCAGCTATCAGGCCTTCTCGCAAAGCACCATCTGTTCGAAAAGAAGAGAGGAGGGGCGTACCCCGGAATGAGTTGATAGCCCGAGGTGGAGTGAAACTAGACCGTGATGGGTTTTGGAATAGTTATTGTACTGCGCATGTTGAACCAACGTTGGCTGAATTTAAGCAATTCACTCGCCAACTTTATGAGACGTATAAGAACTTTATACCGCCAGGTGTCAACCTGGCGACGTTCGCATCTGTGGGTGAACAGTTGATCAGGCTATCGCACTCACAGCTCCCTTCCGCAAGTCTTGTTCGGAGTATCTCAATAGGTGAGTTTAAGTCCAAAAGGCTACGAATTGGACATATTGGCACTAACCACGTACGTTGTTATAGATGTCGATGCCGTTTATCGAATCTCGCTTATTCTTGCAGATCTTCAGAAAGGCCAGTTCATTTATCAATGGGCGTTGACCAGCTGCGCAAAAGCAAATTCGCGCCGAGCCCTTGTCGAACTCGTGAACCGGTATATCAGTACAGAAGGTGTGGACATTTACCAGAACACCGAGTGCATAGCGAAGGTCAAAGACTTGGCTCTCAAAGATGAATTCCCTCATGCAATTATGCTATATGCCAAACTGCTCATCTGGCGTGGCGAGAATGCAGAAGCCGCCCGGCTGCTCGAGCAGAAGATTCTACCATTTCTACAACCAACTCGCAAACAACCTACCCTTTGGGAGGATATTAAGTTATTGGACAATTTCGATTCGCCCTGGCGGATGTACGCTGTTGCTATTGAGAAAGAACAGGGTCTAGCGGGCATCCAGAAGGCTACGCGCCGAGCCGCCGTGGAGTTCCATGACCCGATCGCCATGGCTGACTTTGCCATCTCGGTGTTGGAAACGGAGGCCCCCGACAAATTCGAGGTTTATGAGTCGTACATGGCCGCCGCTGCATTGGGGGGACACACTCCAGCCTGCTTTCACCTTGCCAATTTCTATTATCGTACCTCTCAAGGCGAATTCACCACCGAAGCAGAGAGAAACGCCAAAAAGAGGGAGGAGGCTAACGCCGCGCGTAACGCCTTCTTGCAACGGTTCGAACCTATCGCTAATTGGATTTATACGATATTCAACCAACCCATGGATCGCAAAACATACCGCATGCTCGCGATGGACTGGTACGAGCTTGCTTTTGATAAGGGAAGCAACGAGGCTGGGTATATCCTGGCGATGCTCTTCCGCGAGGATGGTAATATGGAGAAGAGCCGTGAGGTGTACAACCTTACTGCTCAGAAGGGCCTTCCGACCTTGTTGTCGAAGAAAGGCCTGGTGGAGATGAAGGAGAAGTGGGAAGATCAGACCTTCCAACCTGGCTTGCCTCCTCAGCTGTTGAGGCTTGCTTAGATGACCTAGAGCTATTGTGTTTACATCGCTGCTGTACACTCTTTGCCTGTATCCCACTTTGTATCATATCAACGTTTGTTTTTGGGCCTCGATAGATGCCTTTTCTTCTATATTCCTCGCTCCCAAGCATTCATGTCTCATCTCGCCTATTGCATGTCGAACTGACAAAAAAAGAGCAAAAGAAAAAAAAAAAAAAAACGACCGCAGTATCACCCCAGGATTCAAACGTCCATTTCTCATGTCAAACCCAAGACAAAGCCATGCACAAACTCCAACCCAAAAACCAAGGTGTTCGAATGATAATATCAACACGACAAAAGAAGAGAAAATGGACCCCTCAAAAAACGATAGAAAATCGACAAGAAACACCAATCACCGCCTCTTCTTCCCTTTCCCCTTCCCATGGCCCCTCGTCTTCAACTCCACAAACCCAAGCTCCTTCAACCCCTCTGCAAGAATCGACGAATCCCTCATCCCAGGAAAATCCTTTGCAGGATACACATGGAACGGATTAGACCACGCCTCCGCAAGAATTGGCATTGACTGCCCCGTATCCTCAACAGAACCCCAATTCATCAATCGGAACTGCAGCCTGTAAAGGCCCGCCGAGCGAATCGAGAGATCCGCAAAGATGAAAAAGGTAGCTGGTTGGTGAAGACGCGAGGCGGCGTGGTTGTAGACGTTGTGAGGGGAGGTTTCGGGATGAGGATCGATCATGGAAGATGGATGTGCGGGAGCGGAATTAGGATCCGGATCTGCGTCGACATAGAAGGGGGACATGAAGGCTTTGCCGGATAGTAATGGCGTTGAGAAGTTGTCATCTGTGCGGGCGATGCCATCTGTTTCACGTTCACTTTCTCTTGCTCGTTCTCGTTCTAGATCAGGATTCTGGTCCCGGTCTTGATCTCGGTCATGATCGCGCTTGCGCTCGCGGGGATGTGTTTCTGTTGGTTCGGCCCATGGTAGAGAGGGCGAGACGGGGAACAGTAGACATCCCACGGTGAAGCGGGGGTCTTGGAGGAGATCCCGGTCTTCTTGGGAATTGGAGTCAAAGTCGGCAAGGAGAATCTGCACGATTGGGGGAGGGTCAACGGGTCGGCGGTCTCTGTCACCTGCGCCGCAGGCTCGTGCTGCGATGGGCTGTTGTCGGATGTGGAGATGGTATCGGGATTGGGTGGATGGTCGTCTGGGTGGCGGAGGAGGCGATGGTGATTGTGGGTCTGGATCATGGTGAAGAATTTTGTCGAAGCCGTGTGGCATTCTGCAGTTTGCATTTCGGGATGGTGGTTTTGAATCTTGGTGAGAACTGGGTAGTATGGGATTGAATGAGTGGGTCGCTGCGCTTTTGTCCGACCAGACGGGACTTGGCATGGCTGCGGAAGAACTGCTGTGTCTATATGAATTTCGTAGTCAGAATGGGGGGTTTTTTTATGTCTCTCTGTGTTGTGCAACCTATCACAGATGTGACATGAAAGGAGTGCTTGTGTTCGATATCTCAAACCGATGACATCGGATCAGAACGGGCCACTGACAGATAGAGGTGGTTCAATCGACAGAAACGAAAAGAAAGGGACTTTACTGGGACTCCACGTCGTATGTCCAGCTCCGGTGACTATCGTAGTCACGGGCATGGCTCGAAGTTGGATATATTCTCTCTTCAAATGGGTTGTAATAACCGCGGGCATCAGAGCTTCCTGGGGGTTGCTGATATGTTTGCAGAGGTGGCGATTGTGGCATAGGTTGTGTGTTCAAGTAGGGATTGTCGGATGAGAACATATGTCGTGGATCTGCGCTTCTCTCAGGAAGAACCAAGGCGGGGAGCCTTGGACCAGTGGGCGGCGCCCCGAGTATACGGCGCTCATAGCTCGTGCTCTGTATGATCTGGCGAGGTTCATGGCGGTTTGGATGGGGCATGGGTATCGGGCCGTGGTGTTGAGTGCGGGGGTCCAAATCGATGTAGGGCCGTTCTGGTGTGGAATTCCCACTTTGCTGTGGCGGTGGCCTCGACATCGATCGGGGAATTGTGCAAGTGCCAACAGGTGGTCTTTGTGTTATACTTTAGATATTGCCGTATTCGGGTTTGTTTCAGATGGGGCATTTAATATAACCCACGAAGCGATCAGATAATCCGAACAGAGTCAATGCCCCAGGTAGAACTTATGTCTCTCGGGAATTGAAAAGAGAGAAAACACGGCAAAAACACATATCCGGTTAGTGAAGGCATCTGATAAACCGCATTTGAATGCAGTCGGTTAAAAGTAGCCGGTTAACAGCATGGCTGCATGTCACGACTTCGGTATGATCCTTTTTTATATCGTCACTGACCCTATTAGTTAGATCTATAGTTCCCTTTGGGAGGGATTCGTTGGTCAACGATTTTCCTCAGGAACCCAAGGAAAAAATGACCACGCGCAGCAAATTTTACACACCCCTGTCTGGTTTTCCCGGGCTATCCAATCAACCGAGAGCTGGAATATGACAGGAACCCAGTAAGAATGGCACCAACAGTATGAAAACTCCGTGCTTTGCCTTTTGCTTTAGTAGAAGTACTTCCTGGGTTGATCCTCTGCAACTGGTGCTGTATCCACCGACGATGATAAAGGGAAGAGCCGGGGGAACGGGCCGAGCGGGTTTTGCCACGAGAAGGGGAGACCAGTACGGAGTACCAAGTGGGCGTCTGTGGACATGGGTGTGTGGGCTGTGCCTCCATGGCAATAGTGCGTGGAGCTGTGTGAACTAGGGACTGTTCCTGGCAGAAACTGGCGAGGATCTCTGCTCTCTCGAAAGACGGTCAGGAAATAGAATATGAGTAGAAGTCGTTCTGCATTGTGGAACTCGCGTGTACAATTGGCAAGGTTTTCATTGGGAACTGCGGTGTTCTGAAGTATCTCGTGTCGCCAGTGTACAGGTCGCCAGTTTACGACGTGTAGGGATAGTGCGAATGGGGCGAAACAAAAGGACAAAGCTAACAAAGTTCTCGTGGGTTTGTGCCTTTTTGCGAACCGGTCTACGGGGATTTGTGGTGGGCCATTAATTTGACGATTAGGGGATTACCGTGCCTTATCCCGTCTCCAATGTGTAAATAGTAACCCGCACAAAGTACGATGTAACTGGCCTTTAAGCAAAAACTCCAATCGCCGCTTATTGGGAGAAGGGAAAATTTGCCGGATGCTGACCGACAAGCCGTCGCAGCAGCTGGCATTGACCCAGATTTCAAATCCCAAGTGGCTGGAGCCGAAGCTGCCGCGAGGCGCGGTGATTGGCGTTCAACCGCTGCTTAGCAGTCTAGAAAAAGATCTCCCTCACCTGCCCCCACAATGGGGAATCCGGGAGCTGTGTTCACTGGGACTTGTGACAAGTGGGCTGGTCTTGATAGGTGTACGGAGTACGGAGCAGCCCCGGCATAGTTTTTTTTTTTAAGAGCAAGTGGTAAGCTTTTTGGAGGAAAAGCCAGAAGTATATCAACCGGTAAGTTCATCAGATAGCTTTCTTGGAATTCAAAGTCAATTAATATTCCAGGACAACACTCTTACCATTGCACGCAGGGGGTTCCCGAGTGGACTTTGGCAATTCCAAATGGGGATGAGGTAACTATCGTTTGCTGTCAGATCGATCGGCGAGGCAGCTACGGAGGACTTTGTACAACTTGGCGAATGCGAACGAACTGAGGTTGGATAGACGGAGTTTGAATGGGCCAAGCGCTAGCGACTATAGATTGTGTCGCTAAGATTTATGGATCCAAGCATCGTGCCTACATACATCATATGTGGCGTTTTACTATGCTGTGGGCCATTTTGGAGGAATTTGTAGCCCGATGTTGGAAGCATTACTCCGTAATCCAACGCGATTGGAATTCTTTGACTTGCAAATTCAGGAGTTTGATAAGGGTGACCGTTCGAGCTCTGAACCTCATCGGCAGATGTAGGAATTTAGACTATGTATTTTCGCGTTAGTTCTCATACGTTAACTTTAGAATGAACGCAGATCCCAAGGATCTCACGGAAATGCAAGGTGGATGAGAATCGGGGGCTCTGATGTACGGTGACTGAGAGCCCACACTAGTCAAAAGATTTCGGAATGCATGCCTGGCTGCGTTAGCTGTTGTACGGAGTAATTCAACAAACTCGACTGCGTCCTTGAGAGCCTTGCAGATCTGCAATTGTTGCGTGCTGCAGAAGTGCAGTAATTCGGGTCTCCATGTGCTCGTCGTCGCAAAACCGGCCTGAATAGGAAGAGATATTCCGACAAACACCAATTATAGCTAGCCATACCTAAGAATTCGAAGGTCGGCATGAAATAGGTAGTATCTTGCCATTCTTACCGACGATCCTAATATTTCAAATGGCGTGGGGACTTGTATGTGGAAAATTCTTCCCAGTGCGCGTCATTGGTAATCTGATCATTTTGCGAGGGCAGCGAGGCAAAACGAGTCGGGATCAGGATGCTTGTCAACTGCTGATCAAAACGGTTAGTTGACGGGCGTAGATTCATGGACAGGGATAAACTGGATTATAGACGAGCAGAATCATTGCACAGCTTTGGGTTATCGAGAATATGGGAGTGATGTTGGAGATAGAAGAGCTGGAAAGGATAAGCCCGCGACTACAACGTGGTGCATTTAGATTCTGCCCAAGAACATCACCGCTCAGTCATATCAACATCAAAAGATTCATCAATCTACATAGTATTTTCTCGATTTCATGAGTTCATAGGCATTCCATATAAACTATAGGGAAACACTCAATACTCTAGATCTGCAATTAGATCTGCAATTGGATCTACATCTAGGAAATAAGGTCCCCAGCAATTTCGGGAGCGAGGGCGTGTGCCACTAGGATAGAACGTTCGCTCGCCAGGATAAGTTGGGAGTGTGAGATGCATCAAGGTGCCAAGAGGGCCATCTGAAGGCGCTGGTCCACAGTCAATGACACCGATGTTCTGCCCAGCGCAATGCCCGAGGAGTTCCCCGTAATGGCGGTCCCAAACCACGATGTAGCCGGATGGCTGCCAGGGTTGATCGGGGTTAAATCGTATATCTATGCAGCCGAGTTGCATCAAATGTAAGTTGTCGATCCCCATTTGGGGAACTCCATGAATGATCAAACGAGCTCGAACAAGGCTTAGGGTAGATGGGGTCATAGCCTCGGATGAATCACGCAGCGCCGGGATTTGGGAATTAGAAAATTCAATCGGTAAGTGTGTTCTGGTACCCATCGGAGTTCAAGCGACTCAATTTTGGAGCGAAATTCATCTAGTCGTGCTATATTATAATCAAGATGGGTGACGATCTTGTGGGCTTGTCTGTCGTGGTCATTCAACAGATCTACGATCTTGCCCAGTGTAGCCAGAGACTTGGAGCAGCCATGAGCGTAAATCTCTGCGTATAGGTGCCCTGCGTGATCGGAGACAACGGATTTTTTTTTATCAATTTTGGGCAAAAGTTGATCACCAGATGCTTCCCAGATTGATGCTGACAGATCTAAAGCCGTACTGAAATGGCTTTGATTTTTAGGGCTCCATTGAATACCCAACCTTCGATCCATTTCCTCAACGCAAAGCTCAAGTAGTTCAAGGTAGTCCTTTCCCCTCACTAGATCAGGTAGTGCCTCGCCCACAATAGTGTCATCAAGGAGGAATCGAACATTCGGGAATTTGGCAGTGAAAGGAAGGTTATCACCACATTGTTGAGAGATATCTTCCAAGCATTTCACTGCTGTTTCAGACTGAAAATTTTGCATTAGAGCAAGCACTACCTGATAGGCAGCGATGCAGCGTTGATGGTTGTAAGGCCGAAGATTTTTTCCAAAAAAGAGACCCGCATTTGTGGAGTATCTCATAATTCCCGAGCCTAGCAAGTAGACATATAGAATCCTGGGCTTTGGCTTCAGAATAAAATCGGTTGCCAATTTAATCAGTAGCTTGCGTCCAGAATAAGTTATCATGCAAATTGTGATCTTGGGCCACAAATTCTGCTCCGCTTATGTTCTTCGCAAGGATGGGATCGGGTTCATCGTATGGGTCCTCAAAAGCTTTGCAGTCAAGTGCCTCAGAGCAATATTGGACTATGCGCAAATTTTCCTCGAGACCCAGGGCTGGAAAGCCCACATGGTGGTGCCCATCCAAGAAGTGCCTGAGATCTAAAGGCGAAAGATCAAAAGATGCAAAGTATAACGCTATAGTGTATATTCCAGGTTGGATAGGAAGCTGGAGATGCTTCAGTCTTGCGAACAAGTCACATAGCATCGACCGGATTTCTGGCAATGTGTTTTTCAGTTGACAGCGTCGTAAAGCACGGTAGAATGGCAGACAATTGCCAGTTTGCAAAATCTCTGCTCCACTTTTGCCATTGACATATCTCTCAATTAGACTCCGCAAGGAAGAGAGATCGCCAGTGTCGCTATTGGCATCCCACAAAAACTCTTGGTTCCGCGACGTAAGTCCTTTGATGGAGGTCCATGACTGGGGGGGGGGGGGCTGGTGTTGAGCTTCCATTCGGTGGCAAAAAGTCCATGAAGGTACCCAGATAGGACATTATTAGTATTCGAGTCATGATTTGGCTCAGTTGAATCCGTCAGGACGGATCGAAGCAGTTCAGATGGTGATCATGGGGTCGTTGAACTGTTGCAGGATAGAGGTTGCGCACCGATTGCCGTGACAATTAGTTACCAGCATTAGGCCGTCGCCTGGATTGCAGCAGCAGCAACCGAGTGTGCAGCCCTCCCATGCCGACTAGAGTAAAGCTGATCTGAGATGTGGAGAACCTGAAAAGATAAACAAGGGCCGATAAGGGGTCAAGTCTGGGGTTTGGCTGGCAGACAAAGGGCGGTGTGGGAGGCGGTTAATGGACCGCATTCGCGCTTTTATTTCATCTTCAACCAGCTTTTATTTATTATCAACCTAGCTGCCAACAGAACAAGTACCGCTTTCCATCCACTACTGCTGTTGGTATATTGATAAACCCTCGAAAATTATGGTTCAACCCAGAAATGCGGATAAATCCGCGAAGGACGAGGCGAGCCATGAACAACCCCTTGAGCAACCGGTCGAGAATACGAGCGAATCGGCTGTCACAACTTCCGAAAACAAGGCCAAAAACCAACCAGATAACACAAAGGACGATGCCGCATCCAGAGCGCGGGAGAGAATGAATAGGTTCAAAGCCCTGCAGGCTCGAGCAGTAAGCAGTCCTCAAAAATAGCTTGCGCGGATCAATAGACTTGCCCGGTCCTACCCCCTCACAAAACTAACGCAACATATAGAAGTCTGCAACGGAGCGCAACCTTAAAGAGACTGCAGCCGAGTCCCAGCGTCTGGCTACAGACCCGGCCTTGCTGAATACGTTGTCCCGCAAGCATGCATTCGCCTCCCACAACCTTCTCAAAGCTGATACAGAAGCCAGCGGAGAAGATTTTGAACGCAAGCGCGCATGGGACTGGACAGTCGACGAATCGGAGAAGTGGGATAGACGCATGGAAAAGAAGCAGCGCCATCGAGATGACGTGGCTTTCCAGGATTACACCCAAGATGCCCGGAAGATTTACAAGAGACAATTGAGAGAAATGGCGCCGAACTTGGAGTCCTATGAGAAAGAAAAACTTGCTGCGATTGAAAGAGCCGCGGCTAATGGCGATCTCGAGATTGTTGAGACCGAGGACGGTGAAATGATTGCAATCGATAAGAACGGTAGCTTCTATTCCACTGCGGACTCGACTGGCTTCACAGATAGCAAACCAGACCGGGCTGCTGTTGACAGACTAGTCAATGATATCCAGAAGGCAGAGGAGGTGCGTCTGAAGAAACGCAAGGAGCGCCGTGGTGGTGATGATGACGCGGATGTGACATACATCAACGAGAAGAACAGGCAGTTCAACCAGAAACTTGCTCGTTTCTACAACAAGGTTAGTGTTCTCTTGCACTGTTTTTGTGTGATCGTTTCACTAACAGTTCTCTAGTACACCACCGAAATTCGGGACAGCTTCGAACGTGGCACCATGATTTAATTTGAATGTGAAACTGTTTTCGATATTTCAGATGAGCGCAAGTTCCGAGCTACACAGGTTTACTTGGGCAAGGCATCACTCAACATGCAGAGATTCCATGCGTTTCCCCCTTTGCCAAAAAAAAACATTGTTCTACAAACACTCAAGTCACTTCATCGCCAACAAACTTAAAGCATTGTCTTTCGCCAGGCTTTTGTTGCGAGTGCCTCAATCTGTTTTGTTCCGACTGCACCTTTGGTGGACTCGTCCTCCAATGCCTCGACCACCGCTTCGCTCACAACATCGGCTTTGAGGGGCTTTTCGGCCATACTCCCGAGGAACCCAAGCCTATTTCCTAGGAATGTGTTGAACTCAGAGGCAACAAAGCCACCCATTGCAATTGGCAGCGTGAATTTCCGACTCGAGTCGTACATGAAACCCGGGCGTATGAAGACGCTTCGTAGGTCCGGGAGGGTGGATGTGATGGTTGCCTCTGCTTCTCTTTTAGTACTGATGTACCTGGCCGGCAGAATCGGTGCCCCAGCTGCCGCAGAGATGTAAACGAAGGTCGGAACTTGTTCATTGGTGGACTCTTGGGCCAGTGCAATTGCTTAATCACACATGTGTCAGCTATCGAAGCGGACATTTCAAACTTTTGTACGTACCTGAATCCCGATTCATCAGCTCATAGGTCAGCTGCCTATCCTTCTCCTTTGGCTCCAAAGCCTCGCCCTCTTGTCTTGTTAGAGGGTTCTGGCTTCCAAGCTTAGATGCACTAAAAGCTCGTTGAAGGCCACTGAAAATTGGCTCTCTTCCTTGCACAACGCCCTTGTAATCGGCTTCTAAGAGAATGCCCATTGAGTGGACAACAGCAGATGCACCATGCAAATGTGGCTTGTAACTCTCTGGCTTGAGGATATCGGCCCTGGCCCATTCCACGGAGCCTGCCCAACTGGGCCGTTCCCGAGAACCGGTCACTGTCTCCCACCGGGGCTCACCAGATCGACTAGACAAATATCAGAATTGTGCTTTTCCGTAGATCCATGCATAGGCTGGAAAGGCTACCTCAATGATATAACTGTCCATCCCCTTGCTGTTGCAGCTTTACAAATTCTGGACCCTGAAATAGCTAGTCAGTATGATGATATAAAGATTTTGCACTAAATGGACATTACAAACCCAAAAAGCCGCTTCCTCCGGCGACGACTAGTCTTTTGGTCGGCATGCTGTAGCTTTGCGATAGCTCCGGAGAATGATATCACTAAGAAAATGGAACAATAGCCTAGGCTATTTAGGTTCGCAATTGACAATTTGAAACTGGGCAGATGAGATAGATCTCAAGCTCTTCAATAATTGAAACAGTTAAGCAGTTCAAGGCAATTTTCATTTGACCAGGACTTTGAAGGGGGCGTTCGGCATCATTCGCCTTCTTGTCTGGCCACCGGCGGATTATATTTCTTCCGCAATTTTCTAGCGCCCTTGCTCTGGACAAGCCGTTCCTGGTAGGTTCTACAATCTACAATCATCTCATAAGATGGTATCTGCAACAGGGAATAAGCGCGTCAGGGTAAGCTTCAAGTCCTGAGAAATATCGAAATCAAACTAATTCGCTCGCAGGGCGTGTCCGTGTTCCGACCATTTGGTATGTCCGCAAAGCGCGCATAATCGCCAACAGTGACAAGCTAATAAATACAGTTTTTGGCAGTATAGCGCACCCCTTCGATCCCGAAAATAAGCCCCCAGGCTCACCTCCGGACCATACCCACAGGTGGGAGATTTTCGTTAAGGGGGTCAACGGCGAGGACATCTCGTACTGGCTGAAGAAAGTCCAATTCAAGCTGCACGAGACATACGCCCACAATGTGCGCTCAATCGAGCAGCCGCCCTTTGAAGTTTCCGAAACTGGCTGGGGTGAATTCGAAATACAGATCAAGCTCTATTTTGTGCCCGAGTCAAACGAGAAGCCGCAGACCCTGTGGCACAGTCTGAAGCTACACCCTTACGGCCCAGATGCGGAGGGAATGAGGGAACGTCGCGAAACGGTGGTCAGCCAGAACTACGAAGAGATCATTTTCAATGAGCCCGTTGAGCCATTCTATGAGATCCTCACTGGAGGCTTTGCTGGTGGTCAGCCTAGCAAGAGCAAGGGAAAGAATAACAAGCAGATTGGAAACGGCAGGACGGCGGATATTCCGATGAGTGATGCGCCCGGGAACCCATACAGTCGAATGACCGAGAGGAAAGAGCTTGATCGCATGGCCGAGGCTACTCAGACAGTTGAGCAGATGATCAGGGAAGAGAAGGAGCGCCTGATTGAGAGAGAGAAGTATCTGGCCAAGCTGCGGGAGAGTGAGGGTGTGCCTGCCAACACAAAGAAACGGTGATTGCTTCACACGCTTCTCTTAAACCAAGAAGCCAGGCCATCGCCGCGTGGCTGGCTTTTGGGCACTCCGTCAACATGTGCCTGGCCAGCAACCCTCATCACCCCGGTCCAGACATCCCCATTGATGGGAATCTCTTGCCCCGAACAGTCGGAGTTCGTGTCTTAACGCCTCTGATAATTGCCTGGCCACAAGATCTAGCCTGTCTGTTTCCATCCAATTCATCACGACTAGTGCATTGCATGCCAACTACAACCAAAAGGCTCAAATATGCGGGTCACTGCAGGTTTGTTCCTAGGACTCACAATCGGCCGTATTCTCGTTATTTGCGAGGTGGAAAATTTCAGACAATGCTTTAGGGGGTCCTAAGAATGCACCAGAGATTCCATCCAAACCATATTCATACCAAGTTTGCAACAATGTTTACTCGGAAGTCCGGAACTGACCTGTGAAAGGGGAATGAAGTCCGTAAGGATGCAGTTCACTCGTGGTTGATGTCCCTCCAAATCTCGAGATGTACCTCATGCTGGTTCTTGACATGATGCATTTTCTAGGAAGGTCATTTTGAACCATAGTATTGGTGGCAACAAGCTAACATCAATTTACAATATGAAAACACAAGTCTATTTCACAAAGTATTCGTTCAATCATTGCATGTCGATCTGACTACCTAGCACTTGGCATCTTGAACCGTATCTCTGGTCTTTTTCAGGAAGGGTATCAAGTCCGTGCCACCAGTCCCAGCAAGCTTAGTCTTTGCACCTGCTTCCTTCATTTGAGAGCTAGCTGTGGCTAGATTCAATCTCCCCGTTCCCTGTTCAATCGGGTTAGGCTGTCTCGACGCCATAACAATATATCGAGTGACCATCTGGATGTGTGTATCGCGGAAAGCCTTGAGCTCATTCACAGCTGCATTGTATGCATCCCTAAGCGGTTGAACCGGCGAGTCCAGTATGAACGGACGAACACTAGCCCGATCAAATAGCTCTTCAAGGAAGCGCCTATGCGGACCAGGCATGTAGTCTCGCATTTGCTGTCTTTTGTGTTAATACATCATCGTACATGTCTAGAGAAATAGACATCGAAGACCAAGGTCCGGTGATGTTCTTACCTGAATGAAACTCGGACCACAAGCTTGCCTCCCATCTGTTGCAGAGTGCTTGATACCAAGGAAAATATCAAGTGCCTGGATCAGCGAGCTCTGTGCATTACTCCCACCACTCAACTGGAGCCAATTCTCTGGTCGTTCCACTCCATCACTACCATCTACATCATAGTACACACCCCTGGGAAGACCAGCATGACCCATATTCTTGCTGCCAGCCAGGAACGGCCGAAGCTGGTGGAAGAAGACAGCGGGCTTGTTGTGCTCGTACATCCGTTTCAGAGTCAGTGTGAGGTCACACAAACCGTCGGCAAATCTGCACAAAAGGGCAGTGAGTAAGTCAACGTCATTGGCAGCAACTGCTTTGAAAGCATCCCGCATCAGCGAGATGAGCTTGATGCCTTTGGCTTCAACGGCGACGGAAATCACCATGAACCATTCCTCGTCTTTTGTGCCGGTGAAGGAGGTCTGAACGCGGAGGTTGTCCGGATCTGTGATGTCTGCTTCTGGGTGGGAAGGTATGAAGTTCCACAGTGTGAGGCCGGCATATGTGGCGCAGGCGGGAAGTTCCAGATGTGCTGATATCTCAAGGAAAGGCTTTGAAATTGAGGGGGGCAGTCTCTGTTGTCTGGATGTTAGGGAAATTCTTGTTTGAACGGAAAGGAAATGGTAGTAGGCGCTTACGTCTTTTGGGGTCTCTCCTCCCCAGACATAAGCGTGAGCTAGATATCCCATGATAACACATGCTCGTCGCCATTCTGGTTCCGTCTGAAGATGCTCAGTCGTGTAGACGGGCATCCTTTCGATTCTACCGCGAATTTGGCTTGTTTGGATGAGATTCGGAAGTTGGCTGGCTAAATCCTCCCAGGTCTCGTAAGAGGGGTTTGAGAGTCTAGCCAGTGGAGGACCATCCGAGAGAAAGCCCTGCTCAGCATAACCCTCGAAAAGATCGTTGAGAAAAGCATCTGTTGATTGCAACATTGTGAATAATGACCGTGGAGGAGGGGTGTTCGTTCCGGAGGGAGATCAACGCATGGCGTGGTACAAACAAAGACAAAGGGGGAGGATGGTTTTTTTAAATTTTATAGTGCAACAGTAGCTTAGTGCTATACGGTCTCGTTATTGAAGTATCTTACTGCATCGGCTCGCATCGGGGCCCTTTAGTCAAATCATCTATAGAAGATGTCCGGATCTATATCCGTCTTCCGCCCCTTCACGGGAGGGTGCGATAACCGTAGTGGATTTATGGATAGGTTTGGTTCTAGTCACTTGGCTCAACACTTAAGGATGTAGAAAATATCGGGAATATATACTAGTTCCCTATTGATAGACATGCCGAAGTAAGGAAGTAGTGCTCTTTTCAATTTGAAATTATGGTCAAGACTTCTAAAGCTTGGAACAATAGCCAATCAATTCGGTGGCTCTTCTTTTGCAAGTTAGTCTGCATAAATACGCCTACATTGTGATGCGTATTATGCATGTAATGTATGATAGACAGTGGCCCATGTACATTTTATATTCTTATATTTCGATGATGCAACGATCGCCATGTGGCCAACCACTAAAAACTAGTGTGGAGACGGATCGGTGAGGCGGAAGCGGAAAATGATCCGGGTTAGCACTGTTACAGTTCCTTTGGGAATCCCTAGTCTCCGATTTGGCGCTTCCCTTATAAAAAGGAATTGAATTTCCCAGTTGTGTTAAAAATCCTCTTTTCCCATCCCTCAAGTTGGTTACAACTCAAATCCTCACCGCTTGACTTGCTAAACCATATACGAAACATTTGACGATTGCATTTATCTCCAAAATGACAGGTACAAGAGTGTCCAAGCCGGTCTTCCCTGCAGAGGCAGTGTCACAGGATTATGCTGCATCTCTAGATGCAGCAGATCCTCTGCGTGAATTCCGCGACCAGTTTATCATTCCCTCCAAGGCGAACCTCGCTACAAAGAAGCTGGCAAAGCCAGGTGAGAACCATAAGCCCCGCGGGGACTTGAAAGATGGTTTGATCGTTGCTAACAAGCTAAATAAGGTCTCTCATCAGAGCCCAGCACGTACTTTTGCGGTAACTCATTGGGTATCCAGCCCAAGGCAGTGTCAAAGTACATGGAAGCTCAGTTGGATACTTGGTCATCCATCGGCGTCTCCGGACACTTCACCGATCTTGAAGACTCACCATTAAAACAGTGGCAACTACTATCTGAACAGGCGGCTGCTTCAATGTCCCGTATTGTTGGGGCTGCGCCTGAAGAGGTCGCAGCCATGGGAACGTTAACTACAAACCTTCACCTGTTGCTTGCAAGCTTCTACAAGCCGACTGAGACTAAGCGAAAGATTCTCATGGATTGGAAGGCATTCCCCAGCGATCATGTGAGTGAGAATCTATAGTTCTACAATATAAATGATGCCCTCGGGATCAACATTGTGATGACCTACCACTAACACGTTCATAGTATGCAATTGAATCACAAATCACCTGGCATGATCTAGATGCAACGGAGAACATGATTCTTATTGGCCCAGATGAGGGACAGCATGAGGTCTCAACAGAGAAAATTCTGTCCTGTATCGACGAACATGCCGAAACTGCAGCGCTGCTTCTTCTCCCCGGCATTCAATACTACACCGGACAACTATTTGACATCGCCACAATCACCAAGTATGCTCAATCGAAGAACCTCGTGGTTGGATGGGATCTGGCACATGCATATGGAAATGTGGAGCTGAAGCTGCACGACTGGGACGTTGATTTTGCAGCTTGGTGCACGTACAAGTATGGCAACGCCGGGCCCGGCGCGATGGGTGGTATTTTCGTCCACGAGAGACATGGCCAGGTTGATTATAGCGCTGGAGCAGATGCTCCCCAGTTCCGTCACCGCTTGACAGGATGGTATGGTGGTGACCGGTCAGTGCGGTTTAAGATGGATAACAGTTCGTTTTTATTCCCACTCGTGTCGCACGGTGCATACTCTAGCAGATGCTAACCACTAGCAGAGTTCAAGCCTATTCCTGGAGCTGGAGGCTTCCAGGTCTCCAACCCCTCAGTTATTGATCTGACCTGTCTTTGTGCAGCTTTGTCCGTGTTCGATCAGACCTCCATGGTCGACATACGCCAGAAGTCTTTGAAACTGACAGCGTATCTGGAGTTCTTACTTCTCAAGGATACCAACGAGGAGACTCGCTTGTTTGATATTATCACTCCGTCAGATCACCATGCCCGAGGTGCTCAGTTGAGTATTTTGCTCAAGCCTGGCTTACTGCACAAGGTATCTGAACGACTACAGAATGCAGGTATCATCTGTGACAAGCGGGAGCCAGGCGTTGTTCGTGTTGCGCCAGTGCCGTTGTACAACACTTACTCTGAGGTGTTCAACTTCACCAAGGAATTCAAGGGCGCTTTGGCCTCGTCGTAGTTGACAAATTAAATTTATGAATGCAAGAATTGTTCGCCGCCTAGGCGGCCTTGTGAGGCATTTTTTTCTCTTCTTAGTAGTGGTCTTAGTGGTGTTGCCAATGTCTTTTTACCTGTCCTTTTGGGTATGTTTTCACTCCTCTCAGGATTTATAAATAGAAAGCAAAAAAGACCTTCAAATGTGTAGTCGACTTTTCTGTGTATAACGTTGGACACATGTGGGTCAAACGTCAATTACAAGAAGGAAATGCAGCATGAATAATATGCCATGGAACTTTCGTAGATCTTGAATAGAAAGATAAATGTACACAAGAGAAGAAGCCTACTGATGCAAGCCTTTAGAAATTCCCAACACTTTCCCAGTTATCGCCACTGCGCAGGAACTCTTGTCCCTGGGAAAAGAAATTGGCAGCAAGAATAGAGAACTCGTCATTAGATATTGTCAAATGCTGGGGTGAGACCAAAGAAGTTGCTGGGTAGTCCTGGCTTGGAAAGACTGTACTTGTACTGAATGGCTGAGACCGAAGAGTTGGTGTATCTTGTTCTTGGACACTCAACCGGAACGGTGAAGGCAAAGGAGATGTTTGAGATACTTCTGCACCTGCAGAAGACGGACCGGTATAAAGTGACTCCCCGAATAGACGTCGAGCAGAGTCAATATCGCTATTGGATGAGTATTCAAGGATTTCCCAGAATCGGGATAGGTCGATCAGAAGGCTTTGGTTTTGTGCGCCGGGGTCTGATTGGTAGGTTGCCGAGACTGCGTCTTCTAATCGCTGTAATCTATGTGCCTGTCGATGTGAAAGAAATGTTAGATTGTTTGTATGATCCAGCATAGATCCGAGAGAGCAGAACTTCATACCAATCGAGCCATGTGCGGCCACCTTTCTCCCATAGTTTGCACAAACTTGACACACTTGGCAAATCTTTCCCGCTTGTGTTCTCTGATAGTCAAATCATCCGTGAAACTGAGTTGCAGCTCGATTGTAGCCACAACAGCGGCGCTGTAGCCTAGTAACGGATCTGATACTAGAAATGACTTCTCTTCGAAACAGTTGAGAAAGTGAATAATCCATGTTGTATGCGAGGAGATCAAGTCCGAAGTGTGCTGTAGGAAGATCTCCGGGATTGTACTCCGGAAATTCCGAAGACTGAGTGAGAGAAGCAGTGGATGATTGAGTAGGCACAGGCTGGTATGGTAAATAAATTGATTCAGAAACCACGGGCCCCAGTATTCACGATACTTCTGTAATTCCTCGAGAGATCGTTCACCGAGGTTGGCTGGCTTAAACCGATGAAGATACGGCATGCGAGTCTCAAGGTCCATTTGTAAAGCGAGAATTTTCGAGTATTCGGAATGAGGAGACCACGGTGGGACATTGCTTGGACGTCCGTGGAGCCGCACGTATCGCGATGTTCTCGCGAACACTTCACTCAGCACTATCACATATGCAATGATTCCTTCGTCCTGCATATCACTTCGCCGCATTTCGCCGGTGGATGGCCCCGGAGAGAGGAAGCGTGGTGGTCGTGCCGGGCTTCGGGGATATGGAGGGCCTCCGGCTTGGGGGATGTCCGGGATTGGGAAATCACCACCGTGTAGTCGTTTGAGAAGACATATACTCCAGAAGCAGTGTCTGCGTTCTTCGCGGACTATTGTGCTGGTTGGTGAACGGGGCTCTTGTCCGAGATTGGCACATTGTGCAAGGTTCATTGCTAAGCTGCTGTGGATGCTGGAACGATGTGTATTGCCGTCTGATAGATGTAATTAGCTCGTGTTCAAAGAAAAGAAACGCTAGGCTCCTACTCGTGAAATCGACCAAGCTCAGAATACATAGACATTGAAGCGTCGAAAGCTCAACTGGCCCTTCTGAGATTCGTTTCATAACAAGGCCCCGAGAAACTTCGGCATAGCTGTTTGTTAGGCTGGTGGAATCAGCACTGTTATGGTAAGTGTATGAGAAGCGGAAGGCAAGTGCCAGTATTGCAAAAAGAAGCTCTGTGTCGCGTGTCTGTAGAGTGGCAAGAAAGCTATCCCTATAGAAAAGAGGCAAAGGCTGAGAGTCACAGTATAGCAAATACAGCTCCGCGATAGGAATGATCTCCTCCCACGGTGGCAGTGTAATGGATGAACTTGGCATTGACATCGTCACAGACGGGATAAGAGATTCTGTGGGCATTTGCGGCTCACTCCTCGAACTGCAACATGTTTCTAAGAGTAAGTGATTGCTCAAATAGGGATCCTCCTTTTTCGTACCCAAGTACATCCAGAACCTCCCCCACTTTGCTTTCCAGGCTTCGTAGCCGATCGTCCTGTGATGGAATCAGTATTTGGACAAAGGCCGTGGAGCTTGCACTGAGAGAACAAGGAGACACTCACCAAAACTCTAGATGTTCGAGAGTCTATATCATTGGGTCTTGGACTCAACTCAGGAAGTGGCCGGCGCCTTTCATCAGCATATAGACATTGTTGCCGTAGTCTGGCACACAAAGAACAGACCGGCTGCTCTCCGGGGCATTTTGCTTTCTTACGCCTAGGGGAATGATTAACAGCTGTCTCATTGAATAACCCAGATAGTCTGGTACCTGCAAGGCTCACAGGCCTGGCGAACCCTCTTGGTGGGTCTCTCTGGATATGTAAAACTCTCGTCTTCCATTGTTATATCTGTGAGAGTCAGAATAAGAATGCACGGCTCTCAACGAGGACAGTCATACTAGGACGATGGGGTATTCCAAGTCCCCAATTCGCAGACTATATCAAAGTCTAGATATTCTCGGTTCATGCGATCGTTTCAGGGAATATACGGATCCGAACAAGCCAAGCTGTATATCGTGCCCTAGAGCCGGAAGTTACCCGTGAAATTAGCCAATGGGCCGCTGAGTAAGCAATTGTGAAGTAACAGGAGGATCCGTGGACACGAGCCCGCGGGGCCGCCTGGGCTCTGGGCCTTGTGCCAACCATTGCATATCATTGAGCCTCATCCATTATGAGTTCTTCTTGTATCCGATTAATTCCATTTATACGCTGGGCAGAGATGACTGAATGTCCCCGAACGTGCTGAACTACGCGTTACTAACCACATCTGTCAAGGGACATCTTCTTGTATTTTAGTCTACTTTATCTACAATCTGATTGACAGAAGCCCAGTTCCCGGGCTCAACACGATTTCAGGTGCTCTAGATATATCTGTGAAGGCACGTATTTGAAACTGAAAATATGAATGTGTCAAAGATTGCGTTGATTTTGATCACTGCTATGTTTGAGACTCAGAATTCCAAAAGCTTGCCACATGAGAATCTAAAATATCAGATGAAGAGCACACATGTAAATGATTACCAAGAAGTTAGAGTACAATGATCTGTAGATGAGGATCGTCTCTTTCCTTTGAATTGCTGGCCAAACCTTGGAATAGCCTAGGAAAGTCATGTGATATTCATTTTAACCTTGCTCGGACAAGGCATCTCTTCACTGCCGTGCATATAAATTATGCCTAGGTACGGTGCCTAATGGGCAAGCAGGATTGTTATCGTCACTGAGATGCTGAGCAGGTCCAACAAAGGGCACGATAGCTTGGCTTGGACTTGGTGTGATTCATAGCAAAACCATCTCTGTTCTATCAAAAATAGTGCCACCCAGCTTGGAGTGAGGGGTTCGAATAGGTACTTCTGTGAGACCAGGGAAACGAACTATGGCAGCATCCCTTGAATTGGCGCTTGAATTGATGATAGATACAGCTCCAAATCTGCGTGGCTACCAACCCATCTAACCCCTTTCTGAGCAGAAATAGACCATACAAAAAACAGCTGATACCTTAGCTTGAATAACCAACGGAACTCAAAAGGGCATCGTTTATCTCTGCCAGACTAGGTCTTGGGACAAATAGTCTAGTACCAAGTCTTGTGGCCCTGTAGAAAGAAGTCAGCATGTGAACGTAGTATGTCGGTTTCTCGTGCTTCTCGTCGAAGCACGAGAATAAGCGGGATGGGGGGAAACTGACGAGAACCATGCGGCACATGGCGTAGGTGGTAGCTATTGTCAATTAGTTTTCGATCCTCGATGAGAATCTCACGATGGAAGAGGATTCCACTCACCAGCACCAAGGCCGTAGACCGAAATGAGGTAGGGGTACATGACGTAACCGGAGCGGGAGGTCTGCGAGAAAGTTTCAACGTTAATTTTTTGTTCTGTGCAAAGCTCAATTGAGAGCATATGCCCCTTCGGGGATGTACTGACCTTCCACCATTGGCGCTTGCCATCGTGGTTCTGGAAGAGACGCTGGTAGTAGGGCACACGGTTCTCACGGAACACGAAGCTAAGCAGAGACACGCAGTTAGTTTAAGTTGAAATCATGTGGCGGGATGGTAGGCCCCCGCAGTTGCATCAATCGCAATTGGGCTCCGAAGATCGCGGGAGGAAATTCCATGGGCGCACTCTCAAGATCGGGTTTGTGTGCGGGGGACGTGTGTAGCGATTTGAAGGGAGTACATACCCAGCCATGCGGGAGCTAGTAGCACGGAACATATTCGCGGTCGGAAGCGAAGAAGGAGCGGGGATGTGAGGTACGACTTGAGCAAGATGGGGATGTGAAGTTGATCCCGGAATGAGCTGGATGTATTGTCACGTGATGAACATCACCTGATCGAGTCAGACGTTGGATCTGGTCATCATCCCGAAAGGGAAAAGCGTCAGAAAAGTGCCCAGACGCGTATCAACTTTAAAATATTCGACAACGAAATCTTTGGACTGACGTCGGGAGCTTGAAGAAGGATGTTTGACGTCGAGAAACTGCTTTCCCGACATTCCTTTCTAAAACACTCATGCGCCCGGCGCTTCTGCGACTGTTGAAGAGGCCGTCCGCCGTCTCGATCCTTGACACACTCACAGCAACACCGATCGGAATTGAGCAATTGGAGTCCAGGTACAGGTGTCTACGATGCCATTCACGAAGCACCAATCCAGAATCACTCGAGGAACCCGACAATAGCCCGACGCAGCACTATCTTGAGGATTCATGCCGAGGGAAACGGCCATTCAGCTTTCCCATCTACGACATTGAGGCCTCGAATGAACCATATACCCTTGCGTCCACGCCTCTCGTGGACAGTCAAACGCATAGAAATACGACACAATGCCCTACAAAACTTCTATCTCTCCGACCGGATAAACTTGAATTCGAATCGGACGTGGGACACCTCAACAACATTGGAACGCGATTAGTGGATAATCCGGAGCATCGAAACAATTTTGGTCTGTGGGAAGAGCTTCTTCGATATCGTCAGCGTCACTATGGAGACAATGGCACGTTAGACATATGGGAAGGGTTGAGAGTCCGAGTGAATGGTGTGCGGCTCCCAGTTGCAGGAGAGCAAGCAGACTTCTTTTGGCAGAGCTTTGTGGACATGGGGCTGAGGCGAGAGATTTTTCTTAAAGAGGTTGTTGACTATGCTGTCACTATACGAGAACAAGAAGGCTGCGGATGGCCACAGCTTTATGAGCGCGTGGTGGGTGGACTTCTTGACCAAGGCTTGACGAAACGTGCGATCCAATGGCACAAGAAGCTTCAAGATTCTCATTTAGCCAGCTCAGATGATGTGCTGAAAATCCTTCCATCAGCGATCCGTTCTTCGTCTCTTCCGGCTGGCACGGAATTTGCGACTCTAGCTGATCTCGAGCGGTCGCCCTTGTCGCCGGGGTTGCTGGCTTTCCAAGCCATATGCTCCACGACCACCGACCATAAATTTTATGGCCCTGTCATTGCCATGCTCATGCAGCAACGCCATGGAGAGGCGGCGATCTCAATGCATCATTTCCTTGCTCGACGCCAGGACCACCCACAGACCCCTGATGAGATACAGCCATTACTGGAATATGTTGAGAAATTCGGGCTACGGAAAGAATTCAATCGACTCCGTGGCTACGTCAAAAAGCGATTTGATACCGAAGCTTCAATTGATCAACCTAGCCCAATAGACACAGCCCTAAAACCCGAGGGAAAAGGGTCGCATGAAGAAAAGCCCTTTAAGGATGACATTGGTGCGAAGCTGTTTGCTACTCGTGCTCTCAATTTTGATATGATCGTTGGTGGTCTGAAAATGCTCGGTGTATCAGAGATCGGCCATCGGACGTTGCGCGAATTAGCCACGAGAGCCCACGGCAACCAAGATCTTCTGGACAAGCTCAAAATACTCAAGCAGTCTGGCATTTCTATAGGAAGCACTGTCTTCTCGCGCTTAATTCAAAAACTTGCAGTCCAGAACCGCGACATTCTTCTCTCGGACATCCTCCGCAGCGATCAGCATCCCGACAATCTCGAAGACAAGCGTATGCAGGAGTCATTGTTAGTATCCTACTACATGGCCCGGGATTGGCGATTGTATAATATGACTCTAGCGGTGTTGACGGAACTATACCCGGGGGCACCAGACCTCCATGACATCCACTTTCGAAAGCATATCGCAGCCTGGGAATTGAGCGCGGCGTCCAAGGTCGCCGATGAGCTAGCCCTTCGTGGTAGGACTTTGGGCGAGGACAGCGTGGATTTCATGGCTGAGCAGATTCTCACACCTCGGCGAATGAACCATCGCCCGCCGCCGGGTCAACGCCTGTCTGCTGTCGACGAAGTGATCTTCATCTTCAAGATTCTGAAGCGTGTTGTTCCCGCGGGAGGATATGTCAGTGCTGCATTTTGGGTCGAGATGCTCAAGCGTCTAGGCATGGCAGATGCATGGGCAGACTGGGACAAACTCCGAGACTGCTGTCTGTGGCTCGTCCGCCAATACGCCGAAAGCCCTAAGCAGAAGCCTTGGGTAACCATTTCGTCCTCGGAACTATCCCCTGATCCCACCAAGCAGGCCAACGGTCGCGATCGGCGGATGCTCGATCTGGTCTTTAACCCCCAAATGCAAGCCGCTATCGTCTCCTGGGGCTTCATGTTCCGAGTATTGGACACCACCGCATCGAAATTTGCCATTGCCCCACCTGACTCCCAAATGGACGAAAAGCTCATTCCATGGGTACGGGGGCTTATTCTACTTCGAGAGCTGGAACAATCTGGTCTTCGTCTTGACAAGCGATTGATCTCACAGGCAGTCCGCCACCGGCTGGCGATGCTGTACAGCCACCATGTTCTGTCAGCGCGGCGCATGAACCGCATGCTACGGCGGCGGAACCCATACTCTCTACAGCAGGTGTTGAACGATGTGTTCCAGGCCTGGGGCGATCGATCTCTCTTTGATGGGATGGAACAGAACTTGGAGCAGCTGGTGAATCCGCCACGAGCGAGCAGAACAAAACGACGCGCCCCGGGCATACGTCTGTCGCTTAAAGGACTATGATACTTGCATTCGGCGTCCCATGTATATTAGCAAATTTGTAAATAATTGATCGTAATACCCATATTGTTTGAGGATAGATAGATGTACACGTAAATCATTCCTCCGCAGGTGAGACATTGATCGTCAAGGGTCAACAAAAAGTTCGCATGTAAAATCGCATATTGCTAGGGATCACGCAGAACGCATAGAAGACTGGGCTATGCCACAAATCCAAGAGGTCGATTGGTGTAGATAGGCCAATGGCAGTGCTGTTGTCGATCCACCGACCTAAGAATAGTTGAGATGGCAACGCGGCCTGGTAAACATTTTGTGTATATGAGGTCTTGTGTCTCGTTCTATTCTTATTTACATTTGACCTTTCTAAGTACATCCTTATGTCGTTACAATTATATACACAACATACCTCATTTGTGTACAAATATGCGAGTATTCAACTTCCTGGCGTTGTTGCCCATGGTCCTTGCGAACCCTTTAATCCAAACGAAGCGTACGACAGCATGCAACAACTCTCCTGATCTTTGCTCCAAGTCCTATGGGGCAATTACACATCTGGGCGCCCACGATAGTCCATTTGTGCGCGACAGTGATACTGGCAACTCGCTAGCTGCCAACCAGTATTACGACACTCCGACGCAACTATCAGCCGGCGTCCGATTAGTAACAGCCCAAGTCCACAAGAGCAACTCACAATGGCGTCTATGCCATTCCAGCTGCGACCTACTCGATGCTGGGCTGCTGAGCACTTGGCTGAAGGATATCAAGACGTGGTTGGATGACAATCCAAACGAGGGTGAGTTAATTCCGCGAGAATCTTTGGAAAGACAAGATACTAACAGGCCGTCCCATATAGTGATTACAATCCTCCTGGTCAACTCCGACGATGCCACAGCTTCCGATCTCAACACCGAATTTACAACGGCCAACATCACTGACTACGCCTACGAGCCCACCTCCCCAGGCACCGCGCCCACAACCTGGCCCACCCTTCAAACCATGATCGACGACGGCAAGCGCTTAGTCGTCTTCGTGGCCTCCCTCGACACCAGCACCAGCTACCCCTACCTAATGTCCGAATGGACCTACATCTGGGAGAATCCATACGACGTAACCTCGGCGTTGAACTTCACATGCGAGGTAGATCGACCGTCAACATACAAAGACAACAGCGCATCCGCGCTATCAGCCAATCTCCTCCCACTGATGAACCACTTCCTGTATTCGAACAACCTCGCGATCTTGAACGTCGAGTACCCGAACTCCAGCTACGTGGGCACGACGAACGCCGCGTCCGGTGGAACAGGCAATCTGGGCACTGCGGCGACAAACTGCAAAACGGCGTGGAATGGGCGACAGCCGACCTTTATCCTGGTGGATTTCTTCAATCGCGGCCCGGCGATTGATACCGTCGACAACTTGAATAATGTTACCAATGCGGTTGGTCGCACGTCTGTTACGACCTCGGCGGATTTGACTAGTGATGCCTCGTCGCCGAGCAATGTGTTCAAGGCGCTGGTTGAACTGGCCAAATCCGCTAGGTCGGGGACCACGGTGTCTTTGGGGAATTGGATTTGGACCGGTGGGAACTGGGGGAACATTCTCGGTGGGGGAATTTCTTTCTGAGCTGAGTGATTGGGACTCGGTTTCTCTAGTTTTGATCTCTACAGTTGGAGCGTTTGGATGTTATTTCTTGGATATTATTTGAAGTCCTGCGGTATGGGGCTGTGCCCTGGCTGGACAGCGCATAGCGCAGGGAGATAGGGGATTTGCATTCAAATGCAAGGCGTTTTGAAATAGAATTTGGGAAGGGATGGATTTCCCCGGAATATCCAGTGATCTCGTTTCTACGAATGGAATGATTCAAAGTCAACCTCGTGATTTTCGACTGTCGGAGTTGAACTCCTACTCTACTTTTTTCCCAAGATCTGCTGCACCTTGGTGACCTTATCCTCGAATGACTGCACTTTATCGGTCCTAATCGAGACAATTAGCAATGTGAAATGGATTGTGCAAGAGAATACAAGGGGCATAGAGCTCAAGAAACTCACCTGGACCCAACACGAATGTCAGTATGAATCCGAACAATCCCCTTCTGGTGTAGAATCGTATGCGCCTGTCCGATAACCTGATGAACCCGGTCCCAAGATCCTTCTACAGAAACGACCTAGTCAGTAATTGTAAAACTCGTGTCACACAAGCCTGTCAGCTCTCAGCTCTCTCCTAATCTCTTTCTCTCCTGTGATTTGAGATTCAGCCGCAGGGACAGATACAGCACACAGTTGGTGGAGATGAAAGGAACAAGTGCCACACAGATAGGAACCGGAACCAGAAGTGGAACTGCGGAGATGGCCGATGTCATAGTATATAGAATACTATGATTCTCTGCAGTGTAGGAACATCTAGTTTCAAGATATATACTCCACACGTACCGAGGGTTGTGCCTGCAGAATGCATGACATACTTCAAGCCGCAGGTTTCAACCAGTCGCTGGATGTCGGCGACTTGGTCTGAGACTGAAGGTGAAGAGGTGCCGATCTGGGGTGATGCTGTTAGCGTGGAGGATAGAAGAATGTGACTCGTCCACGTAGGTTGGAGGCTTACAGGGACCAGACAGAAATCAGCGACGCAGTGGGCGGGGGTTGCGATATTAGCCATGTTGGAGGTTGAGATGGTGAGATGGTGGGGTAAAATGATTTGAAGGGGAGATTAGGAGATGGGGAGATGCGGAGATCAGGGAGATGAGATGAGGATGTGGTCAGTGTGACCATATCCGTCCTTACATGACATAAAGACCACGACAAATTTACTTATCTGTGACTGTTCACATTCTCTTATAACGGTCAAGCCTCTGAGGTCTGAGTCTCCTGCATCTCTACACTTTGAGATATTCGGTTGACCGCACTTGTCAACTGTGCTTTTGGCATTTGAGCCCCTTCGGACTTGCGGTCCAAAAATAATCTGAATCCACTTTGTGAATCCATTTTGTGAGTCCATTTCCTGATTCCCTGATTCCAGGGTTCTCATCTTCTTAACCCTTTTAGCATGATCGACCCCGGGGGTACGCCCCTGGTTCCCAAGTCCCCCCCCCCCCCACTGAATTTTTGCCCGGGGATTTGAATATCTTCTGTGTCCAGATTCTCCCCTTTCCCCCTCAATGTCTCCTTTCGGCTCAGGAGCTGGATATGCCCTTAAGCGTCTTAGTGAAATTTCGCCCGTTCATCGAAACTGGAGACTAACCTTGGAAGTGTGATTCGGCTAAACTCGTGAGCCTCCACTAGATATATCTATGTGGCTATAATCGTGCTAAGCGCCTAACACACCTTTGTGTATTGGTGCGCCCTACTCAACGATAATTCTCACTTAACGATAATTTTTTTAAGTTTATATTAACTTTCTAAGCGTTTTACACTCTACCACGATAGCCGATTAAATTAAAACTCTCGAGGATCGAATTTCAAAGGATTTTAATATATTTCGTTTAGCTAAAAATCCTAAAATCGCCCTATTAGTGCGGGAATTTAGGGTTCTATACTAGCTACTACGCGCCTATATTTACGGGCGCGGTAGTAAAACTAATACTATAGGCGCTAAAAAGACCCTAAATCCTATCTAGGAAAGGGTATTAAAAACCTAGATCGATACTGTCAGGGTGCGGGCTGGCAGGACGGTATGATAGGAGATGACTGGTAGGAACCGGTCGTAACAGATCAGATTCCCATTGACAGGTACAGGCAGGGGCAGGCTATTATACAAGACGTAGCTCCCAGAGCTACAACAGGATCTAGAACTGAAGGTCAGATAAACAGGTCGGAGATCACGTGCCGTGATCTTCCTCTTACTAAGCATCACGGTTCGTACCGTGACACTAGTACCTTTTACTAACTATACTAGCCTAACTAGTGGTTAAAAGGAATTAATTACTAGCATTAAAGATATTTAATGCCGATAGTTAGGTTATACTACCTTGGTTTCTACCTAAGGGCTCTTTATATATAGAGGAATAGTACGAAAATCTTTAAACCCCTAATTTTCGTATTAAGCCTATACCTAATAGCTAGATCGACGATAAAACTTTGTGGCGTACCAAGCTTTATAACGCCGAAGTTTGAGCCTCGCCTGATTGTCTATTCATAATTTTACCTTTTACTCACAAACAGTCAGAACCCCAAGCTATTTCACAATAGTTGTCAAAGAGTGTACCTTGTGGTTACTTTCATCATTTACTCTTTGTCGTCAAGCAAGAAATGAGCGGAGGCATACGAACGTCCGGGACACTGAGACGGCTTGCGTTATCGATGGGCCAAGAAAAAAAGCAAATCTAATAAAGAATCCGACCTGTCCTCTTAATCCTGAAATATTCTTCCGCTTTTCTGTGGTATTTCTCGTCTTTGGCGAATACCCTTCCTAGAAGCATTTTTTGTGGTGAGACTTACGGCCCTATTTCATGCGTACAGACGCGCTCGAAAACAGTTTCATGTCTTCACTCTCTTCAATTGTTTCTCAAACTTACGCTTCCCTTTATGGTTAGCATACCCCTGACTCGTACTCGTGGCAGTATCTTAGTACAGTAATAAATAACGGCATTCCATTAGCTATCGTATCATGACTGTATGGGTCAGGACCTGTCCAGAACCATCCACCCTGCAAGTATGTCAAACATACTGGCTGGCAGGAGATTTGGTCGGTTTTCTGGTCACTGTGCCTCTCACCTTCCTCCCCCCTTCAATAAACACCGTTTACCCTACCGCTGTACTTCTACAATGAACAAGCAAAAAAATACATCGACAAATTACTGTTGAGATAAAAATAACTCTACAAACGCCTTTTCCGCCCTACCAAATACTGTATTCTTTTGTTCCTCGGCTCCAACTCTCCCTCGTCTTGAATAAGAACATACTACCACCGATAGACATGAACAGCCATGAAACAGCGCCAGGGACAGGAGCATAGAAATTCCTGAGCTGCAAGAAGGTATTGATTCGATATAGATCAACAAGATATGGGACACTGATTTGAAAGCACGAGAAAGATAACATGATTTGATGAACAGGCAATAGTCATTGTTGCTGTATGTATAGCGAAACAGGAGACACTGACAGGGCGGTATTCTGAAGGTAGCCACAGGAGGTTGAGTCCATTGTAGGTGATCCAGGAACGATCATCGCTTAATCCGTATCCACATGACATGACGTTCGAATTGTTGTGAAAGACGGCCTCGAAATTCTGGTGAGACCTCGCTTTTCTTGCTGCATTGTTATCCTATACGGTGATTTAAATCTAAAGAGAGACGAAATTGGCATTAGCGATTTGGACTGGGGAGAGAATTGGAAACCGCTTCATGCTGTAAATATGGAACTTTGATTTTTTGAAAAATCCAAAGCTACATGGGGCGTATACGTCCCAATTTGGTAGAAGAAATCTGGGATGCGGTGGCTTGCAATACAAGATAAACTTGTGCCGGATAGACAAGGTCCGGCTGGTTTCTGCAAGAAGAAGCAAGAAAAGCTGGGAATATGTCATAGAGCAAAGACTGCCGACCTTCGTATGCATCTAATAATGCTGGCTGACGTATAATTTCCGTACAGTATAAATTCCAGGACCCAAAGAGTAGGGAAACGATCAGTCCACTATTGGAAGTTTGCCGTGATGATATTGTCCCAAAAGCGAGCTTTCCAGGTCAGACTGATTGCGTTTTCTTTACTTTCAACGATGGTTGGCAAGATCTCACTCTCCACAGCTAACCCTGCGTTTCTCTTCTGGTCAGAAACCATTGCTGGTGAATAAAACCAGTCAGCCGGTCTTTATTCGAGGAGAGGAGGGGGGGCTTGCCTGCGAAGGGGCTCAGTATCTACGCACAAATCGGGATTCTCCATCGTTGTACCTGGTGCTATCCCATAGGTGCGGCAACAAACGCTCCATGTCACCGAAGAAAAAAGAATCAAGAGTATTACCGTCCAACTTGCGCATAATACCGTCAGTCAGATAGGAAGTAATCTTTTTGTGAGTGTTCTAGGACCCGACGCCAGCATTCTCGCTGAGGATGATGTCGTAATTCATCATTGGGCCTGCTAGTCTCTGGTTGAGCTCATGGTGATGCCAATCTCTCCAAGGCAGTGTGTATGGCGGACAACAAACGACGGTACAGCCCTGTCAAGTTGGAAGCGCCGGATGTATATTCGGTGCCCTAGGGAGCTTCCCGATGGGTGGAGATGCTTCGCTGTGTGACCCGGGTGGTGAAAGTCATAATACTGACCGGTTCGGGGTCGCAAAAGGTAGGACTGACCCTCTCTAAGTACGATCAGTTAGTGTGGACCAAGGAAGCCAAGGGGCGCGAGGATCGAACCCATGGTGAGATGCTCAACGCACCTTTACTGTGCTTAAGTACAGACGGCAAGGATGTTGAAATTCCTATTCCAGGAGGAGTGAGTCAACATATAACCCCTTTGCGGTGATATCACTTCAGGCAGAATTGCGAGACGGGTAGGGGTGGGTGCTCCTGGGAGTTCTTAGTTCCCCCTCTAGCTCAAAGTACATGATTGGCTGAGAAAATTGCCTGTGAGGCTCATACCTGGTTGGTATTCTAGTAGGCTCCTGGGAGCGTGTGGTGATCAATCAACCTCATTCAACAACGGCAAAAAAGAATTGACAGTATACGCCCGGAAAAGCCTTCTCATTTGTGCAGTCGTTAGAAAGAAGAAGTATCAAACTGATCCATCTCGTTGCTGTACTGAACATCAATTCCCTCGGTTTGTTTTGTTACAGGACAATATTGTAGACCTCTCGAGTAGATTCGCAAACTCGCCATCGTCCTACCAGAGGTTCAAGCCCGAAGGGTCATTGTGGGGCAAATTAATGAAATGATCCTGGGAGCAAAGCTGGAAGTGGGAGGTCGACAGGTCTAGAGCGAACGGTCGCATTGACGACGCAATTTTTTTTTTTGATGGGACAATGGGGGTGATCTAGAGAAAAGCCACACGTGATGTGACTAGCGTGTTGCATTTTATTGATGTAGCTCAGGCCGCTCATACTTACGCTCAGCCCATGCTCAGTGAGTAGATCTAGGGTGCTCAGGTGACCATCAGGTGATGCTCAGTGAGCAGATCGGTGTGATTATGTAATACTCAGTGAGCGGATCAGGGCGCTCGGAGGCGTGCTCAATTTTACTCTGAGAGCAAAAAGCAAGAGGTGAGCACTAAATTGGAAAGGGAAAAGTCTCAAACGCCAGGCATTATCCGGTACATATGCATCCACTGAAGATCGTTTCACATTTTCATCTGTGGGGTCAATCAAATTGTCGATCAGCCACGTCATGATCACAGAGATAAAGTGATTTCCAGCCCGACATCCCTCCATCGGATGACCCAGCCCAATCTACTTGAACTCCCTCCGGGGGTTCAGCTTATCTACCTTGCCGAGGGAGGAGCAAACGTGATTTATCGATTTGTCAGAACTCCAGTATTCACCAAAAAAGACCCAAAGAGGTCATCTCCATCTGCACACGACCCGGATCATTGCCTACCAACCCAACTCACGGGAAAATTGCTCCGACTTCGGAAAGAAACCGCAGCCGACATTTCCTACATAAAGATTGTCCGGAACTTCGACACCATCATCCGACCGTTGTTCAACCCGGAAGAACTAGTCGACCAAATCCTCATCAAACTGCCAGACGGTCTCGTCTCCAGCTGTAACGAGCAACTCCAGACCGCCGAATCAAATGGCGCGCGGCCAAAGAAGCGTCATGGCAGCTATCTCTGTCTACATGAGCCATTCGGCCTCCTTATCACCGACATGACAACAGCCGGAGACCTCGGCACGAGTCTAGCCGAGCTTAAACCCAAATGGCTCAACCAGTCGCCGTCAGCGCCCGCGACAGCGCATAGATGTCGGACCTGTGCGTTAAGGGAGATGAAAAACCGTGAGTCGCAACTCCAAGGCCTGAAAGAGCGGCGGTCGTTCTGTCCGCTGGACCTGGTGTCGGAGCAGTATGAGAATGTGATGCGGGCGACAGGGTTGATCAAAGGGTGCAAGGATCGATCGCGACTGGCCCGTATTTTGTATCGGAATCCGACGCTGCAGAGACTGCAGTCCTTGCAGAAGACGGAGAGGGATGTCGGGCTGCAGGGTCCGGCGGCGCAATCTCAGGAGATCTCACTTGCGATGACGCTGCGGGACTGTACCATGTATATCAAGGTGAGTTCCATACTGCAAAATCAGGGGTTATTCTAGTCAGGGTTACTCGATTGTTGACTTCCCGCAGATCCCCCATGACGAAAAGTCACCTGTTGAAATCCGCCTTGGCGACCTCGATCTGAAGACCGGCGCTGGCGGCAAAGCTGGCTATTGGCGGGACTTGGAAACACGGCTGATTGACCAGGGCTGGTATCGGGGAAGCAATATCAGTCAATATGCGGGCGAGTGCGCTTTGCACAGCCCGTGAAGACCCTCCCAGACTCCATCAGTAGGAGACTATACGAACATCGTCTGGGATTGGGATTCGAGTACTTCATGCCTTGGGATTTTTTTTTTGGTTGTTCGAGCAAACACCATGGATGTCCCGAGTGTGATTGGCGTGGCTCCTCTGGCTTGTAAAATATCTGACCTTTATGATTTATCTTCAAGCGGGTTTGTAGTTTCTCGGGGTGTGTTGGGGCAGGGGTGGGATTCTAATCATCTTCACAACTAAACGTTACTGCGAATGTGAGATGCTGTAAACAATACCCACTCCACTGACATTGGCCGAACGGAGTCATCTAAGCCCTACTCAACAAGCCATCCGAAGCTATCTCACGCTAAGCTCCATGAAGCTCGCACTAACCTATATACCAGGCAGATCCTTCTTGGAATTCCCCAGGGCTAAGTCGTAGCCTTATTGAACCTGGCTACTAGCAGCCACTTTAGCATGCTCGTCGGTCTGTGGTCCAAGCTCTTGGAATACGCCAGAATTGAAGGCGCATTCCTCTCTCACCCCACCGTTCCACTTCCCCAATTACTGCCACAAGTCCTTGTTTTATTGACCGGTGCTCCCACGCTCGTTGTCCAATCATTCCGTTTCCACTTTTCACCCCTTTCGTCGTACCCTCTATGACGTTTTCAGAATCAGTCGCAATGACTCGACAGCGACATCCTTCCCCCAAGCCAGCATTGAAATCGTGTAGCTGCGATCACAGCGCACAAGTCAGCCCGGTTGCTTGTTCTTTGGCCTTTCATGGCAGTGGGACCTGATTTCACGAGAGGAAAGCTTGAAGAGTCACAGACGTTAGGGTTCGGCGTGGCATTTCTGTACACGAAGCAACAGCCGGCTCTTAGGGTTTCACCGCCGTTGTCTCAGCAGGCGCCATCCGTGTAAACCAGGAATCGGCAGTTTTCGGCGTTACGATGAACGAATCGATGCAGAAGCGACGCATCCTTCACAGCTACGCCGAATGGGATTTACATATCGACGGAAAAAAAAATTAGATCACCTCCCCAAGTACTGGACGTGCAAATCAGATGAAGATCGGAATTCTTTTCATGAAGATCATTACCGATCTTAGCTCTCTCGCACATCACATCGTCAAGATGCCATGATAGGCTGTCACATCGATGGTCGCGTACCGGGTCTCGTAAAATTCGATGTTCGCTGTGCTATAACAAGCGTTAATTGAGGGATCATTCCTGGTTTAAGCATGCTACCTTTTACCCTCTTGAGCTACTGCATGTTGTACGTATGTGAAGCAGATCAGGTTCGTTTCAGGGTGTGCTGTGTCACATTCTTTTGTGCTTTGAGTCGTTTAAGGTCAGAGATTTACATCGTCACTCTGAGGTATTTACAAATATAAGATCCTTGAGCTACATTTTACATCGTAAAATGCACAATCGGGTAACCTGCACTCGGGAAATCAGCATTTCAATACAAAACAAGAGATAATCTCCCCGCTGCCCGATAACCGCACTTCCTCCCCCCCCCCAACACCCATCTCTCCAACCAAAAATGGACCCCAAAGTTGGAGTCGGCGTCTTCGTTTTCAATGCTGCAGGCAAATTCGTCATTGGCAAGCGAAAGGGAAGTCTTGGTGCTGGTATGTACATCGCATTTGCACTCACTCCCACACGTGCAACAGAGAAGCCATTGTACGCAACTAGAAGCAAAGGCTTACGGTTCGTGATGACAGGCACATGGGGATTACCGGGTGGACACCTCGAGTTTGGTGAATCCTTCGAGACCTGTGCAGCGCGTGAGACCCTTGAAGAAACAGGCCTGAAGATCCAGAATGTACGGTTCCTGAATGCCACGAATTCAATCATGAAAATGGAGAATAAACACTACATTACCATTTTCATGGGTGGTGTCTGTGAGGAGGGTGTTGATCCTCAGGTATGTTGATTTGAATCTGCTGTTGGAGTGAACTGGCCTTCGGGGCATTTCCCCACATCGCGGCTGCGGACCCGAGCTTACTGATTGGGTAGGTGATTGAGCCGGAGAAGTGCGAGGGATGGGAATGGATTTCATGGGATGAGTTGCGGATCTATGGGGACGAGGAGAGAAAGGCTTGTGTCGGGGTTGAGGGGAGGAGGTTGTTTTCGCCTCTTTTGGAGTTGTTTAGACAGCGTCCGGAGTTTCGGGTTTGAATGTCCAGCAGAGATTCGAATTCATACAGTGCGGAGCTAACAGAGAACCTGGGATTCTCGGAAATAAATCCACTGAACTAGATTTGACTCTCTCACGGTTCAACGACATCAGATCTGCCATTATAGGTTATGGTTCATTCTCTTCCCGATCCTTTCCAGTGGACACAACTTAGAAGCTTACTTCCGATGGTGCTTCAATGCTATCAAATTTAAATACCACGCGAGCCAGTTTTTCCATCAGCTTCCCGTTTACTCCGCACTTGCAGGAGAACTTTCGACAAGTATGAGCGCACTGCCTCTTGTAGCCACAGGGGCGAGGCCCTGAGCGACCCAATCACCGACGAATGGGTAGGCACACTGGTTTGCCCACTTTTCCAAGTAACAATGTGTTCCACCACTGCCTGGGAGACGTCCTTTACATTCAGGAGTGGTTGCCGGAAATCAGCTTCATATGTGGTGAAGCCTTTGATCATGGGAGTCTGGACCCACAAAGGGTGAATGATGCTTAGGGGATATCAGTATCATTTCCATTGGAAGAAACGCGTCCCCAAACTTACCTCGTCCGCACATTTGGAGCCTTGTGCCAATACTTTAACTCTTGCCGGAGACCTTCCTGGAAAGACATGGCGCCCGCTTTCGAAGCAGCATAGCTCACCATCTCGCCGAGAGTCAGAAAGCTCGCAACGCTCGCAACTGTTATGACATGGCCCCGGTTCATGCGGATCATAAACGGAAGGAATTCTTTCATGAGGAGGAAATGAGAGATGAGGTTGACATCGAAGGTCTGACGCAGTTTCTCCTCTGGCATTTCGAGAATGGTACCATGGTGGAAAACACCCGCGTTGTTGATGATCACGGTTGGCTCTCCATGTGACTTGCGAATAGCAGCGCCCGTTTTGGAAAGAGATTGGGCCGATGTGATATCTGTATGGTAGAATGTCACGTTTTCGGGAAGCTCCAAGGTAGGCGGGTTGATATCAAGGATCACCACGCGTACTTGCTTGCGAGAAAGGTCTTCCATTATTTGTCTGCCGATGCCACCACTCCCGCCGGTCAGCAGGACTAGCTCATTTTCTGGGATCCATGGCTCGCTGGCCTGGAAGTGGTTGACAACTCGCTCGGAAAGATTGGAGTTGAGGTAGTAAATGATACACGAGACGATCCCAATGCTCAGCAAAGACGTGGTGATGATAGCACTCAAGAAGTCAAACATGGTGTCAACGAAGAGTTCTGCGAGTACACAAGGTCTGAGCAGTCTTCACTCCAGAATGGTCTCAGAAAGAGAAAGAAACGTCACGGGCAAGTTCCTCCTCTCCCCTCTTACAATGGAGTTGCCCAGTGGGGTCACAACAGGCTAGTGCTGACTCGCATTGAAAGTGGCCAATGTGATGATCGTATCACTTCTTCGTTGCTGTTTGGATTTGACCGTCAAATCCATTTCGTTGTAGATTTTATCCTCCACAAGAGAAACTCTACAGAATAATCCCATTGTGATAGCCCGATATTAGATACGAGCAAGAAGAACATCTGACGTGTGTCGTCCAAGTAGAATCATTCTAAATGACCCGAGCGTGATCGGTTGTCATTGACACAAAGTGTCTCCAATCCGGATGGTGGAGGGGGGCGGTGGTACGGCAACAGGTTCGTGCGCCAGACCTAATTTTCCCATTAAATGTTGACGTAGCTCACCGCTGGCTATTTCAATCGTTCCTTGTTTTGAGATTCAAATGTGACGCTACTTTTACCAGCGACTAAATTTGAACTGTTGAATTGTCAAAAGGCGACAAACCCTATCTGCAGAAGACGTTTAACCCATGAGCAGTGGAAGAGATCTTATCGGGCCGTTTCAGCGGGTGACAACAGGTCAAAGGTCGACGGTCGAAAATTGATCAGCAGACATCGAACTTCAAGATCAAAATGAGGGTGTGATGTGTTCAGGTTTCTAACATCCTTACATCCGAAAGTATGCTGCCGGCAAAATGAGGTGCTGGAATCGGGAGACTGCCCGAGAGGGAAGGTAGGGGGGTAGGGGCGTCCCGGTCAGAATCAGCGTTGATACTTGCGGAGAGCGTTGCGTTGTCTTCGTACGAAGTACGGAGTACGGAGTACTCGGTACAGTCTTTTGTCCCCACCCCGAGTGTGGCTGGCTGGGCTCAGGGCTTTTCAGCCGACCGACTCCAGCCAGAAAAGTACCACTTGGCTGAAAAACACGAGATCGTTGTCGACTTCATCGAGGCATAGGCTGATTGTCATGTTCGGAGCCAAACAGGGGCCAACGCAGTGATAGTGAAGGCCTGATGCTCCATGGAGCCAAAGTGGGAAAATATCCAAGGATGCAAGCTTAAAAAAGAAAACGGAACACTAGCATCTACTCAAACTTGATAAAAGAAGCAAGGCCCCCTGAAGACCTTGCGAGTCCGCAGAGCTAAAATCTCTTGTTTTGATGACCTCGTCGTGAGTCTGCTATACTCAGGGCTGATGTAAGATGCCCAAATTTAACTTGCAATGGTTTTCGTATTCCGAGGGCTACGCAGCCGAACTTGAGGTTCTCCAGTTGTCTCGCATCTAACTGGTTTAAAACATGGGGATTTGATGGCTGATGGAGAGTCACTGGAGTCGTCTGGGCATCAACTCCGGAAATCACTAGATCTCACCGGTGAGATGTTGGTCGACATGCACAACTCGATGAAGAGAGTATGAAAAAGAGCAGACGGTTTAGATGAAGATGATCGATCTACTCGTGCTATAAGACCCTGTACAGGCTTCAGGGGGATAATGGGAATTCTGAAAAATTGGCAAACAGGCTAGCAAAGCCTTGCTGCCTGTACCCATGAATGCAGCAGATTATTTGCGAGGACTTTCTTGGTCGTAGAGGATTAATACACTATAGCGATAGGGTCTTGGTAGAAGATGAAGAATCAAGACGCACAAGTTGTGTGGTTGTGAGAAGGTTGGGGGGGGGAGAGAGTATAATAGCAGGAAGATTTCATGAGGGAGGAGGCATGGAGAGGGATTCCCTCGTTTGAAGTTTGTGGTAAATATGGCTTTCTTTGCACAACAAAGCCATGGAATGTACCAGGATCTGTGAATTGAAGTTGATAGAGAGGATCGCTAAGCCCGATACAAGAACCGGAAACACCTTGGTATTTGCTGGATTTGCTGGATTTTGACCCTGAGAAACGTGAAGATCAAGGAGCTCGATTAACTCGAACCAAAAACCCAGTCAGATACAATAACAGCAATAGTCGCAACCTATCCCAAGGTCAGTCAATCTAGGCACACAAACCCTCCAGACTCGAATACGCACCAAGGAAATGTCCACTCCCGGCATTACAATGACATCCATGGCGGGGCGATACCCCTGCCTAGAGCCTCTCATCAAAGCCAATTTCTCATTATGGTGAATACTCTCCCGGACTTCAGCAACCTTCCGATCCCCATCGACAACATCAAAAAGCGCCAGCGCATTTCCATGCCGTTCAATATGCAAAGTAAGCATCTTCTCATCCCTGCGCTTCCCCCCCAAAGCAGCCGCATTCTCAAACGAAAGATTAAAATTCCCAAACGAAGCATTCCCCAGCGTCCAACGCGGAGCGCCAGTAGCAATCGTTGCAGTATCACATCCGGGCAAGCTAACCGACCAACCATTCGTCCACGACCATTTCCGATGTAGTTCAAAGAGCGGTAGACCCGTGTCATCACGGAACTCTCGACATGACCGATCGGTGTATTTGCGACCGGTCACCGTAAACTGTGGTGTTCCATCCTCTTCGGTAATCTTATATGCGACGGCGGAGTGGGGGCTGCCGAATGGTCTGAGCACGAGGATTGTCTTTGCGCGTGCTATGTACTGGTTTCGGAAGGCGATCTCGCGGTCTGGTGATCGGAGGGTTTTGCGTGGCTTGCAGGAATATGAGTGTGATAGTCTGGCGTTGGAGTAGGAAGCGTAGGGCATGGCTATTTGTAAGACCGTTGTTGGCACAGCCGTGGTTATTCACCAAGACGTGCTGGGATAATGCGGGGTGCCTCTTTATACCTCCAGGATTGGGTTACATGGGTGTATCTTGCGCAACTTTTTCCCTGTTGCGGCATTTATCTCGTCCAATGCTCGATGATCTCACTGCTTGCTCGGCCACATCATGCCAAGGAATGTAGATGAAGCTATCCCCCTCGGAGCTGCGGTGGAGTAACTAGAATGATGACTGGTGGCTGCATCCTGAATCGATAGGAGTATGTTTTAGGTGACTACACACTAGAGGGGCCTGATATCTCACGTTTGTACGATGCCTTAGGCTTCGGCCAAGAACTCAGGTGTGCCTTGTGTTTTTCATTACCTTACTACCTTCTTACCACTACTTCTCTCTTTTCAGTACCATGCTACTTTTCTTACTCACATAACCACTGTATTACCACCGGTGTTAGAATGAAGTAGTCTGTCTATGTGAGTATTGCCCTATAAAAGTGAGATCAAAAGGGCTTAGAAGGGTTGGGAAATAGCTAGATTTGAGATCAAAATGATATCCATTTGCCTACAGGCTACATACTAATAAATCGAAGTAGGATCTCGAACCAGACGAACCAAATGACCCTAATGCGATCAGACTATTTATCTAGAGGTATATCTAGTAGTGATTCCGCTCGCGAAGGAGATTATCGTCGGTTTCATTGAAGAGTTTGATATCTACCTCTAGAGGCTCATCTAGTTCAGGAATAGGCTTATTGGCTTAAAGCTCTCTACT